TACTTTGCCTACAACTGAGGTTACAAATCCCGACAGCATTTGATTATAAAACGCCTCCAGACTCTTGAACCGCGCCTTGAACTGCTTGTTGGTGTAGAAACTGGTCTCAAGAACGAGGTAACTCAACAGGTCCGAGACTTCTACAGGAGGCAAGCATTCTGGACTGAACTGCTCGGCTGTTATGCTTGTGGGGTTAACACCGATGACCGAGATCTTTTGCGAATATCTTTCCTTTACTCGACTCATTAAGCTTTTGGCATACTCAGAGAGCACTGGGATACCTTTAGATGAATGCCCGATACTTTTATTGTTTTTTTCTTTCCGGAAATTCATGTAGTTGTCGAAATAATAGAGCGATAATTGAGAAGCTTCACTGTAGAAATGGACTATTACTAGCATAAATTTGACACCCGAGGTACACCAACATGGCGGGCACTGATTTGATCAAAGCTCGTGACGTCACGTGCAACCCAAGAATAGAAAAGGGGAGGGTGGGTAGCGATAAATAATAAAAAATATAGATAATCGATTAAACACGCAGTATTTCATTTCATTCCATTACATTTCATTCTAGGTAAGCTTTACAAGCTGCTGCCATTAGGAAACTGAGCAAAAAAAAAATCATAAGTTACATGAGAGGAGGGGTTCAAATCTGCGGGCATGTTTTTGGAAAATCAGTCAGATATATTCAATGACAAATAAAAATTTCAATACATTATGTTCTAAATTGCAAAATATCTAACACTGTAAACCAGCTACAGACTTTGCATACAAAAATAATTGCGTATATTCTATACTATTCCTAAAACTATACTTTTAGTACAGATGGGAAATAAATCTGTTATAAAATCTACAATTATTATAATGAACGGTGCTTTGCCTTGCCATGCTACCTAAAAATTACTTTAAAAGGTAAAGTCTGCATACGAGCCAAGTGGCCCATCAGGCCGGAGCTTATCCCGGTTTCTGTAGCATGAANTTCGCCGCTACCCATTTATACACCTGGGTGGAGAGAGGCACTGTGAGAGTAAAGTGTCTTGCCCAAGAACACAACACAATGTCCCCGGCCAGGGCTCGAACCCGGACCGTTCGATCCGTAAACGAGCGCACTAACCATGAGGCCACCGCGCCTCCTAAATTACTTTGCACAACTATAAATGCTTACCGTGACAAACATGAGAAGGCTTTGAGTAGATCAGATACAAAATTTGGGGGACATTTACAATATTCTTGAATGTTTCTCACATTCACGCTAAACTATGTTCAGCTAAAAATGTTCGAGTGTCTTATATGCCCCATTCTGTAAAATAGCACATATAATATACCACTCAGATTTAAAGTGTGGATTTAAGACAACCAAATAATGAACAATGCTCTTGATCCTTGAGCCCAAGATTTCGGCACTCCTACTCTACAATTCCTTTTTCTCTGTAGGCATCTCTCTGTATATTTTTCGTATTCTGCTACTCCGGAGATTTTAACAACATGGCAAGTTGAGTGTTAATCGATTATCATTGCTACTGTGTTTTTTCGCCTGACCAATTCGTAGGTGAAATATGATTTTGACCACGTTTGGTAATAAGCGGGTTGAAATACCCGTGAACTCTTTTTTGCTCGTGTTTCAAGCACAAGACACCAGCTGGCTCCATCTACAGTATATGCACGTCAGTTTGTTAAGCGTAATAAGATTAAATAGGCTTCCTAGTAAATATTACTAAAACGAAGATCTTCAAATGCATTTTTCGTTTAGCGGACACAGAAAGTAACTTGTCTAGTCTTAAAAGCTGTATCAATCTTTTGCAACCTTATGGCCTTTACCTTAAACAGGCAAAACAGAAGTTTATAATTATAAACACGTGGTTAAAATTACTGTCTCCTTCAAACTGAAGGTACGTTACTTTGAGGTTGCAAAATGATTTCAGAAAGTAAGACAGGGTCACTCTTAAAGTGTTAAACACATCAATGACACGTTCATCGTTAAAAATCTTAGTAGATCCTTATCTTTATGTTTCGGGTCTAACGGTGAAAAAAAGATCTTGGTCACCATAAGTGGGATCTCTTGATATACCCTTACAGGGATCTCTTTCTACAAAAACAGCATCACACTTAAGACCAAAACGGACATTTTGGTCCACTGTTAGTCTATGGAATAACACTACTCACCTAAATCGACGAGTAATAACATAAATTATTGTAAAAACACTCTAAAAACTCTAGCGAGAAACTGCTATGTCACTTTTTAGCGTGACCTACGTATCAAGAAATAATAATAATAATAAAAAAAAAACATAAAAATTAATTCCTTTTGCTATTTTGAACAATTAATTTGTACAACTATAAATGCTTACCGCTGTCAATTTCGTCAAAACGACTAACTAGGNTTGTCAACTTAAATTGATAAGCCCCTGCTCTCTTACAATAGGTTAAGTACTAAACCTCACCTGGACGAAATACTCCAGGCTCTGGCAACTGAGCAGATCAGTGCGGTGCAAAGCGGCGCAATAACACATATCCCCCTCACCCCAGTACTACCCCACCTTCTTTTATCGTCGTTCTTGATCCGCAGAACTATAAATGCCGAGACTATTATAGCTTTTTGATAAAGTTTAAGTATGAAAAGCCAAAGAAATGGGCCAAGATAGCGGAAGAATTTGATTTGGAAGATAACTGTATTTCAGAAGCCTTTACGTTGCCCATAAGAGTTTCTAGCGAACCCTACTTAAGATCTTTTCAATATAAAGTACTGAACTCCATTCGTTTTACCAAAGAAATCCTTTTTAAAATAGGCTATATTCCAAGCCCTAACTGTTCCTTTTGTCAAGATACCGAAGAAACTAGAAACCATGTATTATTTACTTGTCCCTTTTCGTACTCTTTTTGGATGGATGTTATTGCCAACATTTTGAATAATATTAGTGGTTGCAGATGTCTCCTACTAAGTGACGTTGTCATAGGAATCTTGAAGGAGAGGATGGATCTAGTGAATTATGTACTAATTCTAGGTAAGAGCTATTTATGGAGTCGTAGGCATAAAGATGTTAAACCGTCGATTAGTCACTTTAGGAGAATTCTTAAAAACAAATACGAAACTGAAAAATATATTGCCTTCAAATCTAATAGAATTATCTCTTTACGTAATAAATTCCGTAATGAAAATAAAATAAAATAACCTTCATAGCTTGCCATTTTATATCCAGACGAAAAGGCATCCACAGTTCCATTTTAAGATCACAAATTAGCTAGACAGCGCATTTTGGGAAGGTTGCAACTTTTCTTTATCGCTGAAAGGTCTCCGTTACATTGGTAGCAACTTCACTGTGGCAACGCCACAGTAGTATATTTAATTAGCAACGCTTCAACACAACATTACCAAGGATATGTCATTTATTGCAACATTCTGTATATACTGTAATAACCTAATTATCATTCTAAAATGCAGACGTTGTATAACCCTTAGGTATAAGGAAACCGTCAATAGAGGAATCTTTCTTTACAATATTTGCCTCATTAGAAGATAAGAAATTCAGGTTTAGATCGCACTACAAAAAATATCAGTTCTGAACATTGAAAGGGCATAACAAGATTAGTTCTGCTAAGGAATTTGACTCCGATGTATCGAGTACTTTTTGTGCGACGCAGGTTTACTATAAAAATTCAAAATTTAACAAAGAATTTATGGGCTCATTAGCGATTTTGCCACCCATATATTTGATAGTTTTTGAATGCCAATATGTTTTCCAATGTAATTATATTACACCCAAATAGTAGAGCTAAAACTTTCATCATGCACTACGCTTCACAACTCAATAACTGTTAAGTGAATTCGTTTCGTTTCAAAGTCGTATGAGGCAAAAATGTAAACAATGACGTCAGTAACGTCAGCTTTAAAATCATTCATTTTCAAAATAGCCAATGGGAGCTAATGGGTTATGCTAAAAAGACGTTACACAGTAAATACAATCTGTTGTCTCGATATAATGGCTTCAGTTGGTTAAATATCATTTTTAGTGCGTATTACCGCTGTACAGTTTCACTGCGATTTCCACGAGTTAGACTCGCGTCCAGGTTCCCTAATCAACAGGAAATCACAACGATGTTACACACTAACACGCCAAATAAAATAAGATGGTGCGAGAAATAATGTGCTATATTATGAAGTCTGTGATATGATATCCAGTTAAACATTTCACGTTTTTTTTTCTTACGATATTCGTGCAAGCAAACGTTATAAATAATTTATACATCTGGTATTATACTTGTTCAACAAGCTATTACGTGAAAACATAATAATAATAAAAAAAAATTAAAAAATCAAAAGTTAAATATTGACCAGACAGTTAAAATGAATAAATATTCACTCGACTGCGACCTCGTTCAACTGAAAAGCCACGGTCTTAAATAAGATGCATTCTACCAATGATCTACTATTTGTAAAATTATAGTATATCAAGAAAACTACCTCAGGTCCCGCTCTGTATTCGCCCCGTTACCCGCGGGTAAGACTAAGAAAAGTGCCTCTAGAAAAACGAGTGCATTAAATATTGCCTAGCGTTTTGACGCCGCCAATTCAGCTGGCGAATTTACACTCGACGCTAGAAAATTGGCTTCTTTCGCTTTCGTTCTCAAGGTTTGTGTTCTCACCGCCGAGCAGACCCTGGAAACAAACTTACGCACAGCTACGCCAATGAAAAGAACCACTCGCGGTTTGAAAACTTCCACAAAGGCGAATTTGTTTAGAGCACTATGCACCTGTGTTCCACACAGGGCTGAAGAAATGTTAATTTTACATTCGTACTACTAGAAAATTAAGTACAGTGGAGACCCTCCTTAAAGGAGCTACGTCACGGTTTGCGCATCTTGAAAAGTTTAGCCTCAATTGTTCAAACTCGTCGTTTGTAATCCGTGTTAATCTTCTCCATCCTTAGCCATCCTTGTTCCTTTATGGTTGATCATTATCTCTTTGGTGTTTTTCTATCTTATTAAATTGTTAATTTCAGGTTTCCTACCATTTAAAGGCAATTTTTTATGTGGCCAAAATAACTCAAACTACCGCGACTGAGCTCCTTTAAGGACAATCTCTATGTTACGGGCAGTTCACTAGTTCCAAGGGAAAGCACAACATAGCACTAGTATGTGCTATACAGTAAGGAAGCCGTAATATGGACGTTACGGTGACTGAATTTTCTATTGGGATTATCAGGAAAGCTAAAAGACTTCTGCGGGTGGAAAATTACAACACGTTATTTACTGTGACGTTTGGGTTGGTTTCAAGCCTTGTCCAGATCTGTTGCAACACTGGAGCGAAATCCTTCATTCTCTTTGGAGGTTGCCAAGTTAGCCACATCAACCCCTAACACACAAAGACCGTAACGTTAGAAAGAAAGAAATGGGAAGAGGATAACGAGGGTGCGATTTGGGTGGGTGGAGGGGGGGATGGTTTTGCTTCCCATGTTGTCCAAGAACCGGCTTACATTTACCTCCAAACACAGCGCAAAGTTTACCAGGCCTTTTGTCGGACCCTCGACGCTGTCTCTTGATGTTTTTGAGCTTTACCATGATTCCAAGACAACGCTTTTAAATTCTCTCCCGCTTCTCTCATATCGTGTCAAATGCCCCACCCCAATATCAACCACAAACGAAAATTCTCTCCCGGGAAAAAGTAACTGATCAAACGCCCGGGGGAGATGGTGATGTTTCCATTTGAGGTAATATATCAAACACGAGACAGTGTTTCATCGGGATATCCAAACACCGAGAAGAGAGTTGAAAATACGACGTACAGCGGAGTATTTTTGACGAAATTCGAGGTGTTTGGTTAGCCGATGAAACACTGTCTCGAGTGTTTGATATATCTTCTCAATCGAAACAAAAACTGAGAAAACGGAGAAGTAAAATCGTCAAAATCAATGCTAATTAAGACCGGGTATCCAAACCTCCTTCAAGGTTGTGATTTTCTTTGTTTTAACTTGATGAATTACTAATGAGTTTGAGTATGATACATTAAACACATCTTATGCTTACTACACAGTACATTTAGCCTTTTCACCTTCATAGTCAGCTACGGGAATGCGAAAGTCGCCATTCTTAGTGGTCTCCGCTACTGGTTGACTGTCCCTCTTCACGGGTGACTTCTTACCATTAGCCACAGCCAGTTCATAACTAGCATTGTCTCCTGGCAACCCAGCTGGATGGACCGGCGAACGGCGGCCATCTTTGTGGTCCGGCGCTGACGGATGCGCCAGAGCAGATTCGTATGGTGACGGCCCAATCGCGCTAAGCAGCACGGGAAGGTAGCATAAGCCGTGAAACAGCCCATATAAGACTACACAGAAAAACACCTAAAGAGGAATATAATAGGCGAACTTGTAACTACAAAGTACAACGACAAGGAGAATTCTGGTCAAGTCCCCTGGCCTTAGTCTTCGCAGATTTAGACCGTGACTGATAAAAGTCACGCAATCTAATAAAAAAGTCACGCAATCGCATGAGAATAGTCTACCGACGGCCAATTCCGTCTATGAGACGCGCCTACCGGGAATCACGGTAGTTGTATTCATCAACACAAATACCCAGTCCAAGATGATGGAAAAAAAAAAAAAAATTACCATGATTCCCTGCAGGCGCGTCTCATAGAGGGAACTGGGAATTAAAGTATCATCTGTTTTTTCTGCCGAAAAGATGACTTTCACACACACGTTCGCGCTAATTGTTTCTGCGCATGATGGCAGATGGCCATTGCCATAGCTTTGCCAAGATTTAACGATCTTGGACGTTCGGTGACCCTATTTTTCTTTTGATGGATCATTTTCTCCACCGATTTTCTACGTTATGCGAAAAAATGAAGAAAAACTTTCGATTAAAAAATTGAATTTTTGGCAAAATGCACCATCGAATTCCGACCTTTTAAGCTCTTCGCTGATCTGTGCAGTGGTTTCATGTCTCTTGAAGGGTTACGTTTTGTGAAGATGTTGCAACATTTGGAATTACGAACGCAACAGATTCACTTATACAAAATATTACTAGGATAGTTTATCTCCGTTTATTCATCTTTAATATTTTAAGCTAAAATCCCTTGAGACCATGCTGATTTACGCGCTCCAATTTTTCAAAATGAGACTAGTTTTCCACGCGCTTTATCTCTGAAACGGAGTCGGTGGCGCTAATTTTTTTTTTCATTTCTGAAACAAGCAATTCATTAGCTGTCCGCAGTAGAAGTTTGAAGAAAATCTATCGAGTAGAACATTTTCGCGCGAACGTCCTTAAGTATTGTTTGTCAGTACAAATACTCTTTCTGCTTAAATTTCGAGGTCAATTGCGAGTCCTTTGTACGTGTACTTGTTAACAATTCTAAACCTTCGTCCAGGCCCCATTTTCTTGCAAGTGCTGCTACGAATGTAACAAGCGTTTAGCAAAATTTCAATAAAAACGAGAATGTTTGACTGCATCTACTAAAACTCCAGCGGGATGAAACATCTTGCCGCCAAATAACCTTTACACATTTCACTAGTGAGTAATCTAGTGCTTACCTTAAAGAAGGTCTTGAAAACGTACGAGTTGGAAAACGCCAAAAGCATTACGGCTAAAAATGTACTGAAACCTCCATTCCAAACCGCTGGTCCAATATCCCGCAGGGTAGCGCGGGCTCGTTCTGAAAGTTAACGAAAATAACACTCTTTAATTGAGCTTGTTATTTAAAGTTCACACTGATCGAACATGGTTTTGTTGAGTACCAATCATGACAATTGACTGTAAGTATTTTGTTATTTTGTTTTATTTAGCTCCTAGATATATTGCATAGAACATTCATGAGTCGAGGAATTTTAAACACCATTACTAAATACGCCTTCTACACGAAGCATTTCCGACCTCGAACACGAAGATTCCTTTCATATAAAATACAAATAATTTTTGACAGTCATCAGCTATAAATGCTTCCAACTTTCAAAACGATTTCTGACTGCTATGAAAAAGGATTTTTTTCATAAGGCGGAATTATTATTCGACCACGGCAACTTCCGACTTGGACGCAATGTATTCCAACCGTTGCTGACGTCGTTGTTACATTTTGCCTTATTAGCATACGACTTAGCGTAGAGAAAGTACCTTGTCTTGTAAGTTTTTTTAGCGAAGTGACTCCAAGCATTTAACGAGTGTGTTAAACTTAGGAACTCCGAACTGTTTAGATCTTTTCGTGTAAAATTGAAGGCGATATTGCAAATATTTCTGGGTGAGAAAAGTGCTAATGGACTACACATTCGTTTGAGTTCCTACACCGGCGTCACACAAAAAGAATCTCACACATCGGGGGCAAATTTCTTGGGGCACTTAATCGTGCAAACCCTTTCAATATTCAAAGTTGATATTTTTGCAAAAGGATCAAAAACTGAAGCGCTTATGCTAATAAGCCAAGCACTGTAAACAAAACTTTCCCTATACTACAAAGTCAAATTATTCTCGACTGGAAAACAAACTACCTCCGACCTTATCTAGTGCCCAGACCGCACTCTGTTTGACACTGGAAAGCGAGAGATCTGGGTACAAGATTACAAACTGTCTCCGGCCTAATCTCGTACCCAGGTCCCACTCTGATTGACACTGATAAGTGGGAGGTCTGGGTTCAAGATTACCTCCGACCATGACTTACGGTATCGTGTTCCAGGTAGAATCATAAATGTGTGTGCCACGTGCGAGGCGTAATCCACAGACAACCCAACTGCCAGGACCAAGATAATGGTGGTCACAGTATCAATTGTAAGACCCCAAAAGTGCATAGTGCCTGTGATGTTGACCTACAAACAAACCGGTAAAATATTAGTACAGTAAGTAAATTACTTGAATTAACTGGCTATACACCTGGGTGGAGGGAGGCACTGTGAAAACTGTGTAAACTGGCTTGACCAAGACAAGAACACAACACAATATCCTAGTCAGACCACTTAATGTAGAAATGAGCAAAAAACTCACACGATGCGTGACACTGCCGAAAAGCTGTATATATGGCTCAAAATGCTCTGAAAAGTGCCAAATTTGTCCTGACGTTTAGTTTAGTTTATCAGAACACACTTAATGTAGTGTCCAGGGCATAATTACTAAGTCATCGCGCCCCCCGATAGCCTGCCTCAATAGCCAATCACAGCATTTACAAACCATGTAATGAACCAATGAAAAATCGAGTAAAATACACGTAACCAGCGAAAAGAGCGGGAAAACGCGTGCGACCAAGTCATATTGGTTTGTTACCTTGTATCTGATTGGTTGGATAGAAGGCAGGAGTTTTTTTTAAACTACAGAGTGTAGTAAAGGAAAGTGGTACAACCGAACGCAGGCACAGGGACAAGAAACCTGGCTTATTATAAACATTCTTAGTAACACGCATACCCAAAGTTATAAACCACTGACCACATACCAAAGTAAAGCCAACGCAAGTGAAGACAAGAAGGCAGGCCCATATGTTAGCAAGGACAATCAGTGTGACAATAAACACTGCCAACAGGGCTAGAGCCATGTTACGAAACAGCTCCTCTGAAATCACCTGGAGGTAGACAAATGAAAAACAAAGTTATTTTTTGGGTAATCTCTTAAAGCTTCCTTTTTGGTAACGGTTTACTGTAGGAACTATACATTTATATAACTCGGTAGCAAGACTCCAGAGAAAAAACTGGACCCAAATAAAGTGTATAACGGGCTATATTATTATTTTTCCTTTACACGACATTTCTTATACCTTATTTGTTTCCCATCCCAAATAAAATATTGAATAAGGAAAGGCAAGATTCTCGTCTGAGAAGACTTCCTCCACTTTCTCGCGCAAGTCCTCCATAGCGTTTATCTCTTTCCGTGTTGTGTCCATATCTTTGTGTCGTAAACTCAATCGAGTGGCCTGGCAAATGAGAAAAACTTGGTCACTGATCATCTCAATACCATATTTTATACCATGCCATAGAAAATACAACCAATCAGAATACAGGAAAGCCGTTGTATATTGGACGGTATTACACCTAACCACGACACGTATGTCTCATTGATTGTGTTGGCCACTACATTTTCTATGGCAGGGGATAAATTCGTTATACAACGCTCTCTCGTGGTATACCATGGAATATCCCACTTGTCACTTGTATTTTCTTGGTGTATACGCTCGCCGAAAGGCTCGTATGTATACCGAGAAAATAAGTGACTCGTAGGATATTCCATGGCATACCACGCGAAAGGGTTGCATAACTAGTACAACACCAAAAAAGAAATATTCACGAGAATTTTTAACGTGCGCGTCATTTTAAGGTGATTCCTTAGTATTGCATTGCGCATCCCTACTGCGCACGATTTCATTGTCATTAGCGCGCGCACATGATCGCGTTCACGTACACAACGTAAGAGATCTCCATCAAGCATGGTGACCTATATTTATTATTGCACAATTTTGGTGAGCAAATTATCACTTTTAAGGTAAAAATTAAGAAAAAAAATTGTTCGGAAGGAAAAAAAAGATATAGCTACAAGACTGCACAGCACCGTTACTCGAGGATACGAATTATCACCTCGAAAACAACGATCCGAGGAACGTTTTGAGTCGTTTAGAATTGTGTGATTTTTCCATAAATTCGATTTCCACTGAAGCATTGGTGTCAATTTTCCTCATGAAGATGAACTAAGTTTTCGCGTTTATTTTAGTGGCGTTGATTTAAATACAATAAAACGAGTAAATCAATTTCCCACATATGGTAGCTCTGAAATACAAACATTTAACAGACCTTTCTAACTACCTTAAAATTACCCTTAAAAGCTAAAGATTTGAAACACACATTTTTTTGGTACATGAAGTCTTACCGTGATTTCTGGCAGAGATCCCGTCCCATTCTGCACGCGGATATCTTTTCGATAACTGATCCCAGGCCCCTGAAGAAACTCGTTCAGCCACAAGTAAAAGTTTGCTTCGCTATTTATCTTCCCTAATATGAAAACCAAAAATGCAGTTAAGTACAATATCAACGACTTGCTTAGTCTTACACGTAAGTGTTGCTTTCACACGACCAAACGTTTCTCTGCTTCTGAAAGTAGATTCCCGGCCCTTCTAAGAGTATATTCCCGGCCCTTCAGTACTAATGGTTCTTCCCCCTCTCCCGGGGGAGAGGGGGAAGAATACGATACGGGATTGGAGAAGACTGTGCTGGTAGTTCCAAACCCTTACCCCTTTATATACCGTTTTTGACAGAAAAGGTAATTATTAAATTTAACGTCCCTTGTACAAAAAGGTGACTCGTTCACGGTAGGTGAAAGGGTGCATTTTCGTACGGGATGTTAAAGGGGTTCTACACCGTTTAGGAGTGTCTGTTTGAGATGTTCTGAAAGTTTTCTCTATTTTTTCTACACTCCAACCCGGGAAATCTCTACCCCTATGTATATCTCCGCCCTTTAGGGCGGAGGCCCCTTCCCCCCGCCCACCTTGCCTCCACACGTTTCTGAAGTGGCTACAAGTTAAGAGGCCATCATGGGTAGTTTACAAGGTGTGTTCAATTTGGCATTTTCTATTTTCAGTTGGTCTAGTGTACATCTCTGACTCTGCTTTGACCCAGTTTCAAAGTTTTCTCCAGCCCTGGGAAGGAATTGCCAAATTACATGTCAGTCCGCAACTTATCGCGATTTTAGATCATTTAAGTTTAAATTCACTTACAAGGAGTGGTGCTCTGGTCGAAGTACCCTCCAGGCTTCTCTTTACGGGCCCAGTTAATGTATTCCTCGTACCAGCTAGTCACTGAGCTCGAGATCACATAATTATCACTGGTTGCAACAGCATAAAGGCCGTGAAGTTTGCCTTGATTTTCATAATAGTTAAACTTTGCTGCATAAAGAAGAAAAGAAATGAAAGACTTTCATTCCAGGGATAAGAGTCAACAGAATCATCAGAGCATAGTTAATATGAACAGAGTTAGCAGAGTTTTTAACATTTACTTCCAATTACAAAACAGCTCCGCAGGTACCCATGAGGGTCAACTGCCAAACTCTTGTGGAACACAATATTTCTTTAGTAAAAACAGCATCGAAACGTTGCCCCATTTGTACTAAACATCGAACACGTGTGAACAAGACACAAATTTCTGTTACTAAACCTTACTTCATCGAGCAAGAAGATGGAAAAAAACGTGAGGAAAAATGGCCACGAGCTCATGCCCTGGTTTCACGCAGCCACTTTTTCTTGCACTACGTTTTCGTTTCTTGCCCGACAAACTAAAGGAAAAGAGATCTCTCGTGAAATTATGAACATAATCGCCCCAAACAATTCTCGGGAGAAAAAGTCAATGGAATTGGTTATTGGTCAACTTAGCTGACATTTTGAGGAAGTCGAAACAATGCCTACCAACCCTCTAGCTCTCAAAAAAAATGTTCAAATGTTGTTGTTTATAGTGGTTAACACGCTTAGCTACACCTAGCTAGTTCACAGTCATGCCACTTAAACTGAAAGAAACAAACATATCAACTAAACATAATTGGCTTAAAAATCCGAACTGGCAGGAGGCATTTACAAGCATGACCGAGGAGTTGAACTAGGGTCTACCGAGAAACAACTCCAGCTTAGTGGTCAGGGCGGGACTTAAACCCGCGACCTCCGGATTTCAAGTCCGACCCCCTAACCACTCAGTCACGCTGCCTCCAAAAATCATCTCTGTCAAAACACCCCTCTTGCAGCTTCGCAGGGACTTTTCACGGCTATCTGACATTTATTTTTTTTCACTCCATACCGTTTCCAGTTCACCCACCTGTGTAGATATTTGATGGAGCCCCATCCACGGGGAAATACTGCAATAGGATGAATAATAAAACCTTTTAATTCAAAGCTCAAAATACATATCTCTTTACTAATTGCCATACATTTCTTTGAATATTCGTTCTGAGAATTTGGTAGTTTATCAAGACAATATTACATGAATCAAGTCGTTCGTTTTCTTTATTTTTGTCATCTGTTAACTTGAAAATCTTTGTCACTTCCGGAGACCAGAATTCTTTTGATTAGTACCAAGATTCTGAACCTCTAGTTCGTTCTGAGCTTTTGACCATGAGCAGAGTTCTCATTTTCAATTGACCACAAATGGGATTTGAGAACATTCTTGTCCCTAGCGGTTTCGACCCTCTTGGTCAACAATGAGAATTCGGACCTGAGATACGTTTCAATTTTTTGAGCATGCGGAAAATGCACATTTTGATTGTCAGTCAGCCAATCAGCCAATCAGCCAATCAGATCTGAGTGAAATCGACACAACTAAAATGACCAGAAGTCAGACATCGGTGGACTTTTCAACTGAAACTGGCCTGGGAACCAGAAATGCTTAGAAATGTGTTGCATCTGTGAGTCAGATCGAGATCACTCAGATACCAAACAACAGTACACACCTTAGAATTTGTGACACTGTATTTGTAGCCCATAGTATCAGGAGGTAAGAACCACACTTGGTCGAAATACTGCCTCAGCATTAGTGTGCCATAGAGATTGACACCAAACAAACTTCCTGTGATGACAACAATGATAATCTGCAAAAGAAAAATACAGTTGATTAGAACTTTGCCACTGAATAGTAAACACTACAGTAAGTGACTGAACTTTTCAGTTCAATCAAACATTTTATATGTGGTTAAATGCAATTTAATCTAAGTTAAACGTGAAACAATGCTGGTCAGCAGCCTCCCCTGTTGTGGATATGCGCAGTAGTTGGGGTTTGCAGGGGGTCGCGTGGTTTTACAGCTTGGCTTTTGAGGTCAGCTCGTTCTCACGTGCATTCTTGCCTTTTCGACTGTGCTTGGCGACTTCGCTCCCTACCCTCCCTCCCTTTCTGGTAAGTATGAGGTAGGTATCATGGTTCCACTGTTTTTTACAGTGTGACGGTGCCTGGTGGTTGCCGCTCACAGGGTTGTCATGGTTACCCTACGTGCCCGGCTCTTGTNTCTTGGGGCACTTAATCGTGCAAACCCTTTCAATATTCAAAGTTGATATTTTTGCAAAAGGATCAAAAACTGAAGCGCTTATGCTAATAAGCCAAGCACTGTAAACAAAACTTTCCCTATACTACAAAGTCAAATTATTCTCGACTGGAAAACAAACTACCTCCGACCTTATCTAGTGCCCAGACCGCACTCTGTTTGACACTGGAAAGCGAGAGATCTGGGTACAAGATTACAAACTGTCTCCGGCCTAATCTCGTACCCAGGTCCCACTCTGATTGACACTGATAAGTGGGAGGTCTGGGTTCAAGATTACCTCCGACCATGACTTACGGTATCGTGTTCCAGGTAGAATCATAAATGTGTGTGCCACGTGCGAGGCGTAATCCACAGACAACCCAACTGCCAGGACCAAGATAATGGTGGTCACAGTATCAATTGTAAGACCCCAAAAGTGCATAGTGCCTGTGATGTTGACCTACAAACAAACCGGTAAAATATTAGTACAGTAAGTAAATTACTTGAATTAACTGGCTATACACCTGGGTGGAGGGAGGCACTGTGAAAACTGTGTAAACTGGCTTGACCAAGACAAGAACACAACACAATATCCTAGTCAGACCACTTAATGTAGAAATGAGCAAAAAACTCACACGATGCGTGACACTGCCGAAAAGCTGTATATATGGCTCAAAATGCTCTGAAAAGTGCCAAATTTGTCCTGACGTTTAGTTTAGTTTATCAGAACACACTTAATGTAGTGTCCAGGGCATAATTACTAAGTCATCGCGCCCCCCGATAGCCTGCCTCAATAGCCAATCACAGCATTTACAAACCATGTAATGAACCAATGAAAAATCGAGTAAAATACACGTAACCAGCGAAAAGAGCGGGAAAACGCGTGCGACCAAGTCATATTGGTTTGTTACCTTGTATCTGATTGGTTGGATAGAAGGCAGGAGTTTTTTTTAAACTACAGAGTGTAGTAAAGGAAAGTGGTACAACCGAACGCAGGCACAGGGACAAGAAACCTGGCTTATTATAAACATTCTTAGTAACACGCATACCCAAAGTTATAAACCACTGACCACATACCAAAGTAAAGCCAACGCAAGTGAAGACAAGAAGGCAGGCCCATATGTTAGCAAGGACAATCAGTGTGACAATAAACACTGCCAACAGGGCTAGAGCCATGTTACGAAACAGCTCCTCTGAAATCACCTGGAGGTAGACAAATGAAAAACAAAGTTATTTTTTGGGTAATCTCTTAAAGCTTCCTTTTTGGTAACGGTTTACTGTAGGAACTATACATTTATATAACTCGGTAGCAAGACTCCAGAGAAAAAACTGGACCCAAATAAAGTGTATAACGGGCTATATTATTATTTTTCCTTTACACGACATTTCTTATACCTTATTTGTTTCCCATCCCAAATAAAATATTGAATAAGGAAAGGCAAGATTCTCGTCTGAGAAGACTTCCTCCACTTTCTCGCGCAAGTCCTCCATAGCGTTTATCTCTTTCCGTGTTGTGTCCATATCTTTGTGTCGTAAACTCAATCGAGTGGCCTGGCAAATGAGAAAAACTTGGTCACTGATCATCTCAATACCATATTTTATACCATGCCATAGAAAATACAACCAATCAGAATACAGGAAAGCCGTTGTATATTGGACGGTATTACACCTAACCACGACACGTATGTCTCATTGATTGTGTTGGCCACTACATTTTCTATGGCAGGGGATAAATTCGTTATACAACGCTCTCTCGTGGTATACCATGGAATATCCCACTTGTCACTTGTATTTTCTTGGTGTATACGCTCGCCGAAAGGCTCGTATGTATACCGAGAAAATAAGTGACTCGTAGGATATTCCATGGCATACCACGCGAAAGGGTTGCATAACTAGTACAACACCAAAAAAGAAATATTCACGAGAATTTTTAACGTGCGCGTCATTTTAAGGTGATTCCTTAGTATTGCATTGCGCATCCCTACTGCGCACGATTTCATTGTCATTAGCGCGCGCACATGATCGCGTTCACGTACACAACGTAAGAGATCTCCATCAAGCATGGTGACCTATATTTATTATTGCACAATTTTGGTGAGCAAATTATCACTTTTAAGGTAAAAATTAAGAAAAAAAATTGTTCGGAAGGAAAAAAAAGATATAGCTACAAGACTGCACAGCACCGTTACTCGAGGATACGAATTATCACCTCGAAAACAACGATCCGAGGAACGTTTTGAGTCGTTTAGAATTGTGTGATTTTTCCATAAATTCGATTTCCACTGAAGCATTGGTGTCAATTTTCCTCATGAAGATGAACTAAGTTTTCGCGTTTATTTTAGTGGCGTTGATTTAAATACAATAAAACGAGTAAATCAATTTCCCACATATGGTAGCTCTGAAATACAAACATTTAACAGACCTTTCTAACTACCTTAAAATTACCCTTAAAAGCTAAAGATTTGAAACACACATTTTTTTGGTACATGAAGTCTTACCGTGATTTCTGGCAGAGATCCCGTCCCATTCTGCACGCGGATATCTTTTCGATAACTGATCCCAGGCCCCTGAAGAAACTCGTTCAGCCACAAGTAAAAGTTTGCTTCGCTATTTATCTTCCCTAATATGAAAACCAAAAATGCAGTTAAGTACAATATCAACGACTTGCTTAGTCTTACACGTAAGTGTTGCTTTCACACGACCAAACGTTTCTCTGCTTCTGAAAGTAGATTCCCGGCCCTTCTAAGAGTATATTCCCGGCCCTTCAGTACTAATGGTTCTTCCCCCTCTCCCGGGGGAGAGGGGGAAGAATACGATACGGGATTGGAGAAGACTGTGCTGGTAGTTCCAAACCCTTACCCCTTTATATACCGTTTTTGACAGAAAAGGTAATTATTAAATTTAACGTCCCTTGTACAAAAAGGTGACTCGTTCACGGTAGGTGAAAGGGTGCATTTTCGTACGGGATGTTAAAGGGGTTCTACACCGTTTAGGAGTGTCTGTTTGAGATGTTCTGAAAGTTTTCTCTATTTTTTCTACACTCCAACCCGGGAAATCTCTACCCCTATGTATATCTCCGCCCTTTAGGGCGGAGGCCCCTTCCCCCCGCCCACCTTGCCTCCACACGTTTCTGAAGTGGCTACAAGTTAAGAGGCCATCATGGGTAGTTTACAAGGTGTGTTCAATTTGGCATTTTCTATTTTCAGTTGGTCTAGTGTACATCTCTGACTCTGCTTTGACCCAGTTTCAAAGTTTTCTCCAGCCCTGGGAAGGAATTGCCAAATTACATGTCAGTCCGCAACTTATCGCGATTTTAGATCATTTAAGTTTAAATTCACTTACAAGGAGTGGTGCTCTGGTCGAAGTACCCTCCAGGCTTCTCTTTACGGGCCCAGTTAATGTATTCCTCGTACCAGCTAGTCACTGAGCTCGAGATCACATAATTATCACTGGTTGCAACAGCATAAAGGCCGTGAAGTTTGCCTTGATTTTCATAATAGTTAAACTTTGCTGCATAAAGAAGAAAAGAAATGAAAGACTTTCATTCCAGGGATAAGAGTCAACAGAATCATCAGAGCATAGTTAATATGAACAGAGTTAGCAGAGTTTTTAACATTTACTTCCAATTACAAAACAGCTCCGCAGGTACCCATGAGGGTCAACTGCCAAACTCTTGTGGAACACAATATTTCTTTAGTAAAAACAGCATCGAAACGTTGCCCCATTTGTACTAAACATCGAACACGTGTGAACAAGACACAAATTTCTGTTACTAAACCTTACTTCATCGAGCAAGAAGATGGAAAAAAACGTGAGGAAAAATGGCCACGAGCTCATGCCCTGGTTTCACGCAGCCACTTTTTCTTGCACTACGTTTTCGTTTCTTGCCCGACAAACTAAAGGAAAAGAGATCTCTCGTGAAATTATGAACATAATCGCCCCAAACAATTCTCGGGAGAAAAAGTCAATGGAATTGGTTATTGGTCAACTTAGCTGACATTTTGAGGAAGTCGAAACAATGCCTACCAACCCTCTAGCTCTCAAAAAAAATGTTCAAATGTTGTTGTTTATAGTGGTTAACACGCTTAGCTACACCTAGCTAGTTCACAGTCATGCCACTTAAACTGAAAGAAACAAACATATCAACTAAACATAATTGGCTTAAAAATCCGAACTGGCAGGAGGCATTTACAAGCATGACCGAGGAGTTGAACTAGGGTCTACCGAGAAACAACTCCAGCTTAGTGGTCAGGGCGGGACTTAAACCCGCGACCTCCGGATTTCAAGTCCGACCCCCTAACCACTCAGTCACGCTGCCTCCAAAAATCATCTCTGTCAAAACACCCCTCTTGCAGCTTCGCAGGGACTTTTCACGGCTATCTGACATTTATTTTTTTTCACTCCATACCGTTTCCAGTTCACCCACCTGTGTAGATATTTGATGGAGCCCCATCCACGGGGAAATACTGCAATAGGATGAATAATAAAACCTTTTAATTCAAAGCTCAAAATACATATCTCTTTACTAATTGCCATACATTTCTTTGAATATTCGTTCTGAGAATTTGGTAGTTTATCAAGACAATATTACATGAATCAAGTCGTTCGTTTTCTTTATTTTTGTCATCTGTTAACTTGAAAATCTTTGTCACTTCCGGAGACCAGAATTCTTTTGATTAGTACCAAGATTCTGAACCTCTAGTTCGTTCTGAGCTTTTGACCATGAGCAGAGTTCTCATTTTCAATTGACCACAAATGGGATTTGAGAACATTCTTGTCCCTAGCGGTTTCGACCCTCTTGGTCAACAATGAGAATTCGGACCTGAGATACGTTTCAATTTTTTGAGCATGCGGAAAATGCACATTTTGATTGTCAGTCAGCCAATCAGCCAATCAGCCAATCAGATCTGAGTGAAATCGACACAACTAAAATGACCAGAAGTCAGACATCGGTGGACTTTTCAACTGAAACTGGCCTGGGAACCAGAAATGCTTAGAAATGTGTTGCATCTGTGAGTCAGATCGAGATCACTCAGATACCAAACAACAGTACACACCTTAGAATTTGTGACACTGTATTTGTAGCCCATAGTATCAGGAGGTAAGAACCACACTTGGTCGAAATACTGCCTCAGCATTAGTGTGCCATAGAGATTGACACCAAACAAACTTCCTGTGATGACAACAATGATAATCTGCAAAAGAAAAATACAGTTGATTAGAACTTTGCCACTGAATAGTAAACACTACAGTAAGTGACTGAACTTTTCAGTTCAATCAAACATTTTATATGTGGTTAAATGCAATTTAATCTAAGTTAAACGTGAAACAATGCTGGTCAGCAGCCTCCCCTGTTGTGGATATGCGCAGTAGTTGGGGTTTGCAGGGGGTCGCGTGGTTTTACAGCTTGGCTTTTGAGGTCAGCTCGTTCTCACGTGCATTCTTGCCTTTTCGACTGTGCTTGGCGACTTCGCTCCCTACCCTCCCTCCCTTTCTGGTAAGTATGAGGTAGGTATCATGGTTCCACTGTTTTTTACAGTGTGACGGTGCCTGGTGGTTGCCGCTCACAGGGTTGTCATGGTTACCCTACGTGCCCGGCTCTTGTGCTCGAGGCTCCACTATCTGTCCAGGCACCATCCCCAAGCTCATCTATTGTTGATGAGTTTAATGTCAGATCAAAACTCGAAACAGCTCTTAAAATTAATCTGTAAATTCTTTGTTTAGTTCTCTCTGCTGTCTTGCAAACAGAAATGACAAGGCTGGAGGCCTACTTGAAAACCTAATAAACTGGTTCATTTAGCCGTTAGGGTTGCTGAGAACAACCGAGTTTTTTATTATTATTATTATTATTATTATTATTATTATTATTAACAATAACTTAAAGGAGCTAGGTCACTGTTTGCGCATCTTAAAAAGTTTAGTCTAAACATTTCACGTTCATCCTTGGTAATCCGTGTTTACTTTCTCAATTCTTGACCATCCTTGTTCCTTTCTGATTTGTTATTATCTCTTTGGTATCCTTCTAACTTAGTAAACCTTACTATTTCCAGGCTTCCTTCAGTTTAAAGGTAATTTTCTTACATGACCAAAAGTATAACCCAAAATGGCATGACTGCAGCTCCTTCAATGACAATACTCAATCCAAACCCAAATATACTTGTTGTATTATTTTAGTATTTAGCACCATGAAAAATAATTAAAAATAAAAAATATTTATTTTTATTGTCAGCATTGTAAACAAAGATTCCTTACAAGCTTCCAAACTTGGAACACATACCTTTCCTGGAAGGGACAGTATGACACGTCCAACATACTTGTCTATGAACTCCTGCAAGAGATTCCTCTTGCCGCACGATGACTCTGAGTAATTGTCTCCTAGCCTGATACAACAGCAGCAGCCATCTCGTTTTTTACCTTGTCTGCAGATAGTTCAATAAAAACAGTTAAGTTTAGAAAACACCCTGTACAATACACGTGCAATAAAATTTGATTTCTATTAAACAATCGGCTCAAGGTTTCTATCATGTATAGAAATCGAGAGTAAATAAACTAATAATAATTATTGTTTTAGTATAAATCTACTAGTTGTTCAAAACTTTATCTAAATCCTCTTCACAGACACTTCGAAAACGGCAAGAGGCCCCGATCATTTTGTTCACAAGGGCATACTGCTATGCTACTCACTATCTATCACAGAATAGATTTCCAATAGAACACAACTGAGTGGCTACTAAACCTTGATAGAAACATCCAAAGAGGTCTATTTCTTCAGGTGTTAAAAATCTTCCCGTTAGTATAGGCAAGGATCATTGGCTAAAAACAGTTTAAAAGTTTTCTGAACTTGAAGTCTAGTTCTCTCTACTTCTTTCAAGATCGAGCAAATGGAAATTACATGTACCTTCGGGCATCCAAAGCTAAGAATGCTGCAAACAAAGTGGCTTGAAGGGCAAAGTCTGCCAAGATACCTGCAACCAGAATACAGATTTTAATAAAACCTTGCAAATAATACTTACAGTATTCATGAGGTGATTTGATTGAGAAAATGATCCCAGATGCTTGCAGTGGGCTAGATTATAAGGACAAAATGGCCTAAGAGTAGCTAGTGGACACAGGGGATCATGTGCACTAGCAGCGTCCGTGGTTGAGTGTCGATGGATACCCTCCCTCGATACCCTCCATTGATACCCTCCATCAATACCCTCCATCGATACCCTCGATCGACCCTCAATCAACACCCCACCTCAGTTGACACTCGATTGACACTCAGTGATTGAGGTTATGCATTGAAAAATAAATCAATATAAAAGAAGTATTTTTTTTCCGGCATTGCCTCAATCAGAATTTTAGTCTGGCTACAGCCATGGTTATTGTAATGGAAAAGGATGTTTCCAATCAAGCCATCTCTTGAGGGAAATGATTTTTATATGGTTTAAGATGTCCCAAACTTTCATTTCTAAGTGCATCTATAACAGGGACTCAAGAAAACAAAAAATTTCAGAAAGTTCTCTACTGACATTATCTCCTACAACACATATATTTTACAACTGTTACTAACACTAAACTCCAATAAATTACAAATGATGTAAGTTGCAGCAAACACACCTATTCCAGCATATATACAAAATGACCTCAAAGCTGGTAATATCTGTGAATGAAAACAAAAAGGATACACTTTAGACTTGAATTACATACAGATGATTTTGTGAAGGTTCATTCAACAAAAACCAAGCATGACAATGCTGGAAAGTTACATGTATATGGTGGCTCTTGGCAAAAGCATAGTGTGTAAAGGTCTTTGTGGCTTCTTTGCTTCAAACTGGCATTTTGAATTTGATGTAACAACTAACAAAAAACACATTATGGCACCATATTGCTGTGTATACTGTAGGTCATGACTAATTTATGCTAATCTGTTGGACAACCTTTATCAAAATAATTGTAAATGTGAACAACTACTTAAGTATAGGTAATCATACGGTTTCGAGTTCAATTTGGAATTAATTTGCACGAGTGAGTTTTTCAAAAAGCTGAAAGTGCACGAGCCGCNTTTGCACTGATGTTACACTTTTTGCACTGGTGTTACACTTGAACTGCACTGCTCTTAGCCAATCAGAATCGAGTAATTTTTTCATGTGTATTATTATACATGTAATAAATGTTAAAATACACTGGGCAGCCATTAGTCAGCATAATTTATCACAAATAAATTATAAATAAATTATAACAATTACTTATAATTAATTAAAATAACTTATCAAGTTATTTTATAATTATAAGAAACAACCAACCAAATACATAAATTAAAATATAAATAAAAACTCACAGTGCTCGCTCCTATCATGAAGGCCAAGAAATCAGTCAAGGATGTTATTGTAATTGAGCAGCCCTGCAAGCAGAAAAAATAAGCACATTCATCATACAGTTGTATAACCCTGCCCAGAAAATTGCATAAAAAACAATACTATGGGGAGCAGGGATCGCACACTGGTTAGAGTGCTTGCCTCCCAGTGACCATTGTGGCATAGGGGTAACTTTGAATCCTGGACCCAACATCATATCTGGGTTGAGTTAGTTGTTGGTTCTCACCTTGCTCTGAGGGCTTTTCTTCAGGTTCTCTGGTTTTCTTCCCTTGACAAAAATCAACACTTCCTAAAATTTTCCAATTTGATTTGGATATAGTAACTGGACAGCATCTGAGTGAGATGTGCCACTGCAATTTCCTGTTTATTTCACTCTATTTATTTACTTGTTTATTTTTTATTAAATATTTATTTATACTATGACCAAACGATGTGTATTAACACAATGTATGTACACATACATGTAGCAACATGTAGGCAGAGACATCCACCTTTGAATCTATTGTACTCACAGCATGTTTTAAAGTAAGTCCAATGCGTTCTGCGACATCACGGTTGTTATGAACATCGGGGGGCAGGTTGTCCCATGCTTGTACTATAACAAACATATCATCGACACCAATACCTGGAAATAGAATTGTGTCTTATTGCTTCAGAAAAGGCATATTACTCTACTCCACCACCAGTACTATGTAAATCACAACTAAAGATTCCTTATTATAATACATTGTACCAATTTCACCATGATGGCACTTAATCTACAAACATTTTTACCATTTTATTCTTCCATTTTCTCCTTAGTTTTAGTTTTGATTGAGAGATAAATATCAAGCACTTGAGGTCCACTGTTTGACCACATTTCCAAACACCTCAAAGTTTATCAAAAATACTCTGCTGTGCATTGTATTTTCAAATCTCTTCTTGGTCTTTGTCATGTTGAATATATTACTTCCCAAACTTAACAGATAAATTATTATTTACACCAACCAACCCCTGGTAAAGGGAAATTGGGAGACCCATGAACAAAACAATCAAAAGAACTATGTAAAAAAGGTAGTAAGATTCCAATTTTTCCCTCAATGAAGATTAAAATAATGAGCCCTTCTTTTTGCCATTTTCTCTCTGATTCTCATTGTGCTGTTCCAGAAAATATCCATACCCATCCCACAGAAAGTTTTGTAGCTTGAACCACTCCCCCCACCCCTCCAGAAATCCTTTTAGTGTCATACTTTCCTTTAAAAAAATGGGCTTTTGAAACCCCCCTCCCCCTTGGAATTTCCATTAACCTTCCTTGCTGTGAGTATAGATATTTTCTGGAACTACACATTGCTTTCCTGTGGTGGACATGTTTTATGAACTTGCAAAGAACACAGGGTAACTCGGCACGGAATAGTAGCCAACATAAGCACAAATCACAGTCAGTATGGTACAAATGATTAAATGTACCTGTATTGGTGGGTAAGGGTAATGTTCTCCTCTATTAGTTTATCACTTTATGACTCTAGCATTCATCATTAATCACAAAAGTACTAAATATTTCATTTCAGAATTTTCCCCAAAAACCACGAGATTGGGAGTCTTGTCATGAAGCTGTGAGAAAAGATAAAAAATTGTGACATTCATGGCAGAATAGTGAGAGCTGGCAGGTCTGATTATGAATAGTTTCTTAACAGGCTAAGTGATCTTACCAAGTAAGAGGAAAGGCAGTGTGGAATGAACAGGTCCATAGAAAACTCCAAATGCACTGGCCAGTCCAAATGACACACCAATGGCTAACCCAACACACACAACTCCAAGTAAAGCCAGCCATGCCTGGTAACAGAGAACAAAAAATTCATCCAGGTTAAACAATCTGTTTAGAAAATACTTGTGCCACCTATGGATTAAACCAATCATAAATACACTGAGATCCCAACCCATGGCCAGCCTGTTAATGGCCACCTTGTTATTAAAGCCACTTTATTCTAGCCCAAACAAAAGCTCACTCCTGAATTCATTTTGTTATTTTAAGAACCTCTTTAAGATGGCCAGATTTTTGTGGCCCGTTGGTGACCATGCAAATTTACGGGGTTCCACTGTAACAGCAAAACCAATCTTGACTAGCTTGCACACAATCTTTTTGCAAAACACACTTGTTACAAGTGCATGTGCTTTGAGTTTTGATTGGTTCAGTAGATGGTCTCTGTCCTGTCATTAGCCAGAGTGATTACTTTGGCTTTGGTTTAATGAAACACAATAACAAACAGCTCTGTTGATAAATGATAAATGCATTTTTATCAATGGTAAACAATAGCTAGACTGCAAGCTGTCTCTCTATTTCCCCAGTGTGCAAAGAGTTTCTAGCCTGCAATGAAGCAACAAGAGATGCAAGCGTGTAAACGTATGTTAACTTTTGTCAGTAGCATTACCTTGATATGAAGACGGGTGAATTGTCCAAGCATGATGGCCACATAAGCAATGATCAGCATGTATCCGATGGACAGAAGTTGAACATCACCTTCTATAGTCCCGCCTGAATCCTCCTGTAACCTGTCATTCCAATCAAATTTAAACATTCATGAATTCAACAATAAGTTTTGGGTTAACTGAAAATGAATTTTTGACACCAATTACATGTAACTTCTTATTTTCCATTGTCATATTCTTTGTGAATCACAATATGAAAGAAAAGAAAAAAAATCTAAATATGGTTAGAACAAATGCAAAAAAGAAGATATGAAATATTTAGAAACAGATATCCTGGGATATTGAGAAGGAAAATTGCTGTTTTTGAAAAAGGAATTAACACGATAAGGGATACAAATTATTTAGGCCAATATTTATTAATAATTATAGGATATGGGAGACAACCCCAGCCCCCAAGTTGAAATGATTTTGTAAGACAGTTTTGAAATACAATAGAAATAATTTCTTTAATTTTTAAATTAAGTGTCAAAATCTACAACATCAGTTGACATTTTCACGGAAAAAAAATCCTATTAGCTTAGCTTAGCTTATCTTATCTGATAATTGTGTACAACTTACGTACAGTAACACATCTTCCCTTTGTGATGTGAACTTCAATTTTATTTTGTTTTCTTACATACAGTTACAATTTATTGTTTGCCCTTGCAACTATAGCTGTAGTAATATTCCAGAATTAATCAAGGCGGGGATTTTGGCAGCAACCAATGAAAGCTTCCTTATCAAACTACTTAAGTGTCACACTGTCAAAATTAATATAAAAAATAATAATTTTTGAACATTGCCTTTTTGTAACTTGCTCAGTATCTGCGATCAATATGGAAACCCATATTAAGATTCACAATGTTACTAGGAAGAGTAATGAAAGGGTGCCTGGAAAAAACAGCCCTAAGTGACTTTTGATAAATTGCTAGATTCTCCCTCCAAATTGCTTCATATTTTCTTGTGAAACACAAGGAGAGTTTGACATTACATCAGAAGTCACTTTAAACCTTATCCTGTGCACCCCTTGTGCAAGGGAAACTTACCCTGTCTGGGTAAAGTAAAACAGTTCTATAGATTCTGGCAGCTCTAAGTTGTCCATCAATTTGTTGAATTCCTCTTCCCATGCCTCTGTCACTGGATCCTCCTGAGGATAAAATAACGGTATTTAAGAAATAGCCCCAGCTCCAGCGTGGCAACTGCGACTTACCAGACAGATGCACAGTCAAAAATGTCCATAAAAGCATTTTGATGCTTCATTGTAATGTGAGACCACTACAAGGTACCACAAGGTGTGGCAGAAAGTTGAAAGCTCCAGCAGTGAGGCAAAAATTGTTCAAATTGGAGCAGCAAGGAGGAAGATTTTTCCAAGCTGACCAGAAAAGAGGAGAGATGAACTATATCCTTTTTTGCATTGGAGGGGGAAATAGAGCAGTGAATTCAAATTTCGGCTGGAAAACGGCCTCACGGTACAGGTCTTTTGAAACAGCTCTGTCCAGCCTTGACTTTGTCTATACATGTATGTATAGAAAGCTGCTACAAGCACTTCAAAAAAAACCCAAAACAATGAAATAAGCCAAATGGAAAACAGAAACCAGGCAAGGTGAGTATATTTTCTTTGTTTTGTTCCAAAAAAGTAACATTTTATTTTGTTGTACGTTTTTATCCTTTGTTACTTTAAACTCCTTACATTGCGTTTTAGAGTGCCCAAATTCTCAATGGCCGAAGTGTAACACAACACCGCACACTTTAGGTGCTCATGTCCCACTCGATAAGCGTACATAAATCATTTTAATATTTGATTGATTCCTCCAATCATGAGTTTGGGAAGCCTGTGGTGGAGGTTTGGGAGAATGAGAAATGCTGTGGGAACAGCCGACAGACCAATGTTTTCACAGCTTTTTGGAGTTCTCCCAAACTTTCACTTAATAACTTTTTATAGTTAAATGAAGTAGACTCAAGCAACCTTTAGGTTCAACCTACCAAAGCTCCTGTATTTTTATTCAGTTCAGGACTGAATTTTATTCCGTATGACATCGACATCGCTTCTGCTTTCACAATGTGATCTGTTGAATTCCGTTTAATCCCACCAAGGTATTGGGACAACACAAATCTCTTTTTGGTAACAGGACTGAAAATACAAAACAAATAAAGAACAAAAACATTAATAAAGAAATAACCAAAATGAACCCAAAGACAGTAAATGAATGGTCTGCAAATAACAAATGGCTCAGGTACATGTATGTACCAAATTGTAGCCTGTTTTTGGGAGCTGCCACGAAGAACAAGAGGAAAAAGGGTGAGGAGTTTGTGACCTCACCCACTTTCTTCTCCAAATCCCCTTTGTTCTTACACTTGCCTCCTTCTCCTTTTGCTCAACCCAACAGACAGAGAGCCTGGAACAGGCTAACCACAATGATAGAAGGACCAAACAAATGAATGAACAAATAAATGAACACCACAATTATTTCAGGGTTACAATATTAGGTACTGTGCAGGCTTTTAGCCAAGATTTGAAAAATAGGCATCTAAAATGTGCTATGGGGTCTACTCAAATGAACAATAATATTTATAATTGAAAATACCAAGTGAAAAAGAAAACAATTGTCTTTAAAAAGTAGGCACCTTCAGAACTTCGAGATACCCATCTGGCTAAAAGCCTCATACCATATTTAATAATAATATTACTCTTTCCATTTAATTTCTGGAATATATTCTGCAAGGAAGAGTTTCACGCCTTGCACGAATAGGATAATAATAACAAATGACAAAAAACTTTGAAGTTGATCGATCATTTTCATGTGATGCCATCGAGTTCTAAAATCCAAAATTAAAGAGACACCAGAGTTTCTATCCTCATCGGAAATTATATACTGTATAAGAAGTGTGAATGAATATATGTTGACAACTTTACTGCTCAATGGCGTCCTTCAATTGGAAACCACGACATTTTGAGTTTCAGGGTAACGGGGGTGCATGACATACGGTGTAGAGCTACAATTATATTATTGCCCTTGTCCAAACTTAAATTATACCATCTTATCTTGTGATTTTTAGCCATTTGTGAAGTAAAAGTAGTAGGAAAAGTGTTAAATATATGAGCATACATGTATGTTTGTGCACTTCAGATAATCAATGGCCTAGATATCCAAGTAAGTTCCAGATGGTTACACTATTTTCTGGCCACTATATTGGTACACCACAGAAGTACACCAACATGGTGGCTCCATACTGGGCTCTGTAAATTTGTATGAATCATTTCAACAAATATCTGGCATTTTGGAAGGCACACAGACCTAAAACTTGGAGAACTGTATTCTTTATTTATCTTCTATAAAATTGCATTTTCTTGACTACATCCACCAAATGGTTTTTGCTTTATTTGTTTTTATCTGTAACAGTGAAAACAATCTATACAGTGTACCTTATGAGTGAAGGTTGGTTGACCTTGTTCAGGATGTCTTCCTTTGTAAGACTATTAATGGTAGCCTCGTCAAATGACCACAGCTCCAACAAGCCATTAGTTAAACACACAGGGCCAATTCTAAAACAAATAACAGCAATCATGAACAGTTGATAAACATGTAGATCTGAATTAACAGTGGCCAACAGAAAAGTACGAGTCCAAAAAAAGGGGTTGAACTTTATTCCTTACTCTCGCTTCCTACCCCTACAGGATAAGTCTGCATATGAGCCACGTGGCCCATCAGGCAGGCGCTTATCTCCAGTTTCTGTAGCACAAAGCAACTTAGCATATTTCTACTCCCCCGTGGATGTGATGCTGGACCTCCCTGGTGGGGACCCCCATATAAAAAGGAAAGGGCTGTTCATTGAAAATTTTGAAAAGAACCCCTACTGTAAGAGGTAATAAGGTCTTGTTTTATGGGTGTGGCTTGAAATTTTTGTCACACCTTAGAGGTACCAATTCTAAAACAACATAAGTCATTATCACCCTGTTGTATTGTTTTGGCTCAGTGCCCTTTGAAATGGTACCGCGAAAGCTCCCGCTGTGGACCTTTTGAAGCTGAATACCCTGAGAGATATCAAAATTGCCTTTTAAAATCCTAAAAGATAAGATGAGCACTCCTGTCCTTCTTATATGGGAGTCTCCCCCTGGGGCTAGACCATCGCAGGGTTACCCCCAACATAAAATTTCACAGTACCCATTTATACACTTGGGTGGAGGGAGGCACTGTTAGAGTAAAGTGTCGTGCCCAAGAACACAACACAATGTCCACAGCTAGGACTCAAACCGGGACTGCTCAATCCCGAGTCAAGTGCGTTAACCATGAGGTTACCAAGTCCCCCCGCCATCAAAGTGTAGCAGCTGTCACTGTTTTGGGGCTAGGAGTACATATATTGTTTCTGTTGTTTGGTTCATTGTTCTCTCAAAGAGTATCAAGCCATTTATGTGAGGCCTTGCAAGAGCTCCTACCTGACCCAGTAAAAATGTCAGTAAGATTTCTGTATTTCACCTGAAGCAAAGTTTCTCCCATGATTTGTCTGTGCCATTATCCATGCCCCTGACCTCATTATGAATCATAAGTGCCTAACAAGTAAAAAGAAATCATGTCCATTAATACATGTAATAATAAAATTAATAACAAAAAATACATTACATAGCTGAACTGGTCCACAATGAAAAAGACTGGTTCCCCTTACGGTCTGAATTCTGCAATACAGACTGCTACGATGTACTGCTTACAAATTAATTTTGGCAAATTACTTTTTCAACTCATTACACAAAGTTAACAGTTTATTGTCAAGTAGAAATCTGTTTACCTTCATGTTTGGAGGAAAATTTCAAAGACATTTTTTATGTTCACGAAAGTAACGTGAGAAAATATGTAAATAAATGCTCACCTTTCTTGCGTGTTTGTTGAGAATGGATCACAGAGGTATATAAATTTAGCCGCAGATTAAAAAGAGCCATTATAATAAGTAAGTTATTGAACTAGTATTGGAGAATACTGTTCCTTTTTTTTTCCAAGTTTATGGACTTTGCCAGCAGCAAGGTCCATAGACCTGCAAGAAGAAGATCTAGAACTGACCCAATATTTCTTCCATATGGACCAGTTATGTTAGTACAATTACATACTAATTAATTAATCAATTAATTACACAACATGCATCCATTCGGTCATATAACTGGGAAAGTGGGAAAACAAAAGAAAAATGTGGGGGTTGACTGGGAGAAAAAAAGTAGGAATCTGGGTCTTTCCCACACAGGTCTTCTACCCCTTATTTTTTGTTTTCTTTGTTTTGCTTTCCTGCTTTTTCGATGGTCCCCACAAACTTAATGACTTAATCTTTTGAGTAACTATTTTGAAATAAGATAGCATTAATTTATATCTTTCTTTACCTTTTTTAAAGTGGAAGGTGTAAGAACATCTTCAGTCACCAGCAATGCAACGGAAGCACGCATTTCTAATGGAAAATTATCATCAACCCAGTTCTTGTGTTTCTGAGCTGTGGAATCTCCAGGAGTCCATAACTTATCTCCACGACTCTCCTGAGTAAAGTTGACAAGCCCAGCGAGACATGCACCACAGACACTCAGGCAAATTAAGATCGTGATCCATGGACTTCCACCCACTGCTTTACCCAATCTGTGGAAAGATTTGACAGCTTGAAAGTGTGTTTTTATTTACCAAAAGCTAGTGTGAAACAGATGATTTTCTCTGCATCATTGACACTTTCCCAGTTTGAGACTAAGACAACTAAGATTTTCCCCAAAATACCATAATCATGGCAAACCCCTATACCAAGATTAGGTTATAGCAGTCTATCTTTGGCTTTTGCTTGGTGTGAAATCGTCTAAGTCTGCATTTAAGCTAGGAGACTCATACAGCCAGTGTTTAACTCAAGTTTTCATGGCACAAAGCTACTTAGAATATTTATTTTCTCCCCTGGATGGGATGGCTAGTCCATCACAGGGATCTCAACTGATTTACCCGTACCCATTTATATTCCTATGTAAAAAGAGGCACTTTCACAGTAAAGAGTCTTGCCTAAGAGCCAACAAGATCATTTACAGTGTACGACTTCTATCTATCTTCAAAGAAAAAGATCTTCCAAGGATTCTTAAAAATATCTCTGAAAGATCTTGCAAAGATCCTAAATAAAATGACTGTGTTTTTCCAGAAAACATCCATACCTCCTCAACAGAAGGGGTTGTTTCCAAACCCTCCACCCCTCTGGAAATTCCAATAAAGCTTGACACATTTCTTTAAATGTTTTGGTCTTAGAGAACCCCCAGCCCCACCCCCTGGAAAAATTCCAATCCTTTATGTGGGGGAGGGGGGGGGGTATGGATATTTTCTGGAACTGCACAATATCAGATTGTAAAGAAAAGATATTGGCAAGGATCCTCCAAGATTTTCAAATATCTTGGCAAGGTCTTTGAGGAAAATCTTTGAAGATCCTTAAAGACCCTCAGAAACACTAGCATCAGAAAGACAAAGATCCCGAAAGACCCTCTCAAGAATGTTGAAGGTCTTAACAGATCTTTGAGGATCTTGGCAACAATACCATTTTTAAAGCTTTGGTTAAGATCCTTGATAGGATCCTCAAAGACCATTGTCAATATCTTTGGAGATCCTTGAAGATTGTCTCATGAGAAACAAGTCAAGAGGTGGTAACTTACACACACTTTTGAGCTGTGCTGAATTGCTGAATTTTTTAAGGTTGAATTTAAGATTTATCCTAAGCAGAGGGTCGCACAGGGGGGTTCTATGGCACGGTTCATGAACGGAAAAAATTGAGGGTCACGGATCAAGGCTATAACAATTTCGTTTTCCAGAATCGCAAAAATAAGCAAGTAGGATACTCTTTCTAATAACCTGCTCTTACACTAGAAAAAGTGTGTGAAGAAAGAAAAATAGTGAAAGGTTAAGTCAATGCTCCATATTGCAAATCACATGTCTAAGTCACTCTTGATAGACGACTGTAACCATTCGGAGGACCCGCATCTCAAAATCACGTAGAATTGAATGGTGAAATTAAGAATATCGGTGAATAATTCAAGTTCTTCACGGGTCATGAAAAACCTTTAGGTCCCAGATCATGAAGAATAATTTCGTGAACTCACATATCATGGAAAATAAAATCAGCTAATCAGGCATCACAAGAATACTCCTGTACGACCCTCTAAGCAGGATAGAGATGAAGAATTGAAACTAAAAAAGGTTATGGGAAAGTTTGTTTACTCAGTCAACACGATCATAACCAATTTAAACTTTGTAATAGGACAGCCAAATAAAGCTTGCTTCCATTAATCAACACAGCTGTGCAAACCAAATTGTTTTGCTATTTAGATATGTCATTATTTCAGACACAACCGCCAACCATAGTTACAATAATTATTACTTCTTTTTGGATATACTGCTTTAAATTAATATAATTAATAACCCATCCTTGGATCTTCAATCCCGAAATACAGAGCGTCAAGTTCGTTAGCTGAAAGTTTAAACTGTACGTTCTTACATTTGACACTGAAGATCAACTTACATTAATTGAAGTGTAAACATTTCCTTACCTTTATGAACACGAAACACAAGCAGCGGCGCTAAGATATACGTATATTGAGAAAGAATCGGGATTTTAAAACAAGACAGCTACATCAAGCAGGTGTTGTGGTGGAAGGCGGCCATGTTGCAAACTTGGGCCAAGATCAGGCAGAAAGCACGAAACATGCATTGTGCCTCATTTAACTAATTTGACATCAATGAAGATAACACTACATTCCGAATCTAAAGTAGACGTGAGTTTCTCTAACAATTCGCCAGAATGAAAGCCAAATTAGACCGAAAGTGATCTGCGAAAATCTTGTTCGTGCTTCAGCGTTACGTAACATGATGTACTTTCTATCGAATATTTTCCGCAATCACCCAAGAAGGCCAATAAAAATAATCTGTTACTTATTAACTTAGCCCACACTTTGACCCTGCTCGATATCTGGACCAAGGACGTAGAAGTGCTTTCCTCAAAAAAAGCAAACAAGACCAAAATATCGCCAAGTTTTCAACTTTGGTTACGTAAGTTTGAGCAAAAGTGTCAAAAGCCATTAATTATACCAATGTAAATTTTTTTAAATTTTACTTTAAGAAGCATTCAGAACTGACACAGACTTCGGTCGGCGAAGTTAAAATACTTGGTTTTCTCCTTTAAACTTACATATTCGAACTACAGATAAGCTTACACTATATTAACCGCGATTATCTTGAACGTAAAACTGCCTAACGGACAAAAATACAGCAAAACGGAGTAGCTTATAAACTTACTCACCTGTAAAAACCTTTCTCCAACGAACCAGTGATAAAATTACTTATTTTGGTCAAGCATCCGCAATTTTGCTTTTCTTTTTCGGTGTTATCAGCGTTTGGACCATCCATTTTGCTTCGTTTCCTGCCGGCCTGCTGGTTTTCACACACTTGAGTTCTGTCAACACTCGAAAGCGGTAAGATGACAAAGCACTATCAATCAATTCCGCACCAGGATGGGGTAGGTAAGGATATCAAGGAAACTCATTTTCCTAGTCATTTATGATAGTTCTGTAAACTAAAAGAGGCTGTAAATAACTGCATAAGTGGAAATATTTTGGACAGGGAATAGAAGAGATAGTATAAAAATGGTGTTTAAGAGACATTTTGCAATTTATTCTGAGAGATAAGGGAGGGGACCCAGAGTAATCCTTGGTATTCTAGCTGGACTTCGTTGACGTCATTATGCAAATTTGAGCAAAACTACAAACAAACAAGAACAGATTTTGTCGTTCTCGACCTTTGCTCATGGGCTATTCCCGTGAAACTAGTTTACGTATAACCATGGGTTTGTCAGGAGCCCGTTAGGTTTAGTGGATATTCAAAGATGTTAACACGGCTAATTTTATTTGGAACGCTTAACGTAGCCGTCGAATGACTCACAAACTGCGTCAGTCTGTGCGTCATCTTCACGTTTTTCTGTGTGCCGACTAAAAATTCAAAACATGCAACTTTCTCGGCTACTCGAGTGCGCACATTGAAATCGCTTCAATTCAATACGATATCTTTATTTCGCATAAAAATAATATTATTTTCAATTAGAATATATTTAGGTTTGGAATTAATAGTGTATAAATTCAGTTATCAGTATTACATAAATTCAGTTATTACAGCCTCGGCGGTGGATATTGATCGAGCGTTATTTCACAAACTAGGTTGTTTTCAATGAGACTGGATCCACTGGATTTTTGAGTTAGCCCTCCAGCCTTTTTACGTTTCACGGCTCCCATATCTCCTTTCGATCTCTCAGTTTCAACTTTCTAAACCTGCCAAGGATAAAAATTGACAAATGTTAATTTTAAAAGACTTCTGAAGTTAGAATTATCTGTATATACGAATTTATCCACATCTTTGCATTTGTAAATTCTCGAAAATACAGTTGTCCTGACCAGAAAGGCCAGACAGAGCATATATCATAGTATGCGAACTTGAAAGGCCGGTTACCAGGCTGGACAGGTTGAAAAGCTGGTATCTCTTACCCTAAATTTGTCTAGAGGAGACTGATTTTTCTTTTCTTTTCTGGCTAAAGAATAATCCTTGCCTCTCCATGTCTTTGAAAATTTCGTTTTTCTTTCCATTCACAATTTTTGTTTTGGTCCATTCCTTGCATTACTATTTGACTGTTTCCCCACCAACCAATTAGTACCCAGTTCGTCGCGTTCTTTTGTTTCCGAGAGAGAGTAGACCTCAAAACAAATATGGCGGCAATGGCGGTTAGAAGAATCCCGTACACTTATTCTGCTTTTGAAGAGTTTTACAGCTGTTTTTACCAACATTGTCACAAATAATGATTTCAGATCGAAGATGACAACTCGATTTTCAAGTCTGATTGAAAGAAAACTCAAGGAACATGATGAATTCGACGGCTGAGTGTGTGATGTTTCGATAAAATTTTGTAGCGTGCTCTTGCGTGTTCGCAAAGTTCAACATGGATGGAGCTCATCAGAAGAAAGCTGTGGAAGATCTGATGGCCGAAAATCGTGCCATCTTAGAAGAACTTGCTCAGTGTAAAGCTGATAAGGATTTTGTGTGGAATCTATGGCGAAGATTGCAGTCGGCACAACCAGAAGTTACCTCTGTTGTGAGCATGGTCATCGCACGTGAGAAGGAAAAAAGTGAACAAAAGGACAAAAAAGTTTTGGAAATATTGCAGATGAAAGACGAAAAGATCAAAGAACTGACTGAGAAAGTACTATCGGCAGAAGATGAATCTCACTACAGCAAGACAAGGTACCACGATTTGCTGATCGAGAATGAAGAGCTCAAACAGAAATTAGACGAAAGAGAAAGGGAATTCACTTCAAGAGAGAAAGAAATGAGTGAAGAAAACAGTTATTTGTCCAGTTTGTTGAAAGCTCATCAGTTACAGAAGGAGACTGATGACCAAACTGTCAAAGAGAACTTGGATCGTATCGAAGAGGAGAAGAACCAACTTAAGATCAGAATAGCAGTTTTGGAGAAACAGGTCAGCGATTTTAGCGAGGAAAAGTTGAAGATGGCTTCAGCGATCGAAGTTAATGCTACCCTTGAGGAGAAGATAAAATCCTTAGAGAATGAATTAAGTCTCCTAACCTTAAAAAGTACCGAAGTTGCGAAGAATTGCGATGAAGCTGAATTAAAATTGACCGACAAAGAAAACATTGTGAAGGAGCAATTAGAAACACTGCACGAAAAATCTGAAATGATTGCACAACTAGAAGGCGATCTGGCGGCTGTGAAAAGTGAACTTGGACAAGCAAGAGAAAGTTGTAATCAGGTTACAGCTCAAGTCTCAGAGCAGGCAAGAATTATCCAACAGCTCGAGGATAATCAAAATAGCAACAGAGTGGCACTGATGGACAGTGAGCAAGAATATCGCAAAGGACTTGCTTCGCTGCAGAAAACTGTTGCTGATCTTCAGGGGCGATGCGCAGTTTACCAAGAAAGCGAAGCAAAATTGTTGCAGGACGTTGATAGACTCAAAGAGAACGCACTTAAGCAAAAAGAAGATCTTAATGTCAAGGAACTGATCATTGAAGAATTAAAAGATGCTGTTAGAGATGGTATTCGATCAGGAGAAGTTTCGAGGCGCGAAGAAGAAGAAGTCAAGGCTGATCGTAGATCTACTCAGAAAAAAGTTAGATTAGAAGCAAAGACGAGTGAAACACTTCGTCCCAGATTTCAACGAGAGAAAGAGCCAGGAAGCTTAGAGGAACGGCAAGAAGGAGAACTTGTTGACCTCTCTAATGAAATAGTCGAAGAATCTGGATCTGAAGTCACGAGAAATCAAGAATCGATGGAAAGAAGGCTAGAAAAAATTTTAGCACTTCGCGAGCTCGAAAGCAGATTGGGCGAAAGCCGAAAAACGGTTGATGAACTTAAGAAACTGCTGGAGCTTAAGGAAGCGGAACTTGTAGAGACTAGACGCGCTCATTCGCAGCGACAGCAGCGTTACAGGATGCTCAGGGAGAATTATCAACTTGTATTAGAACAGATCAAGACTTACGAAGCTTCAAACGCCGACGGAACCGGAAGTGTCACGCCACTCCCGGACAGACCGGAAGAACGAGAATTGAGGCACTTAGACAGTGACCAAGTGTGGAAGGAACTGGCTCATTATAAACGTGGCTACGAAGAGCTGGCGAAAGAGAGGCATGATGTGTTAGAAGAGATTGACGTCCTTCGAGTTCAACATGCCCATAATATTGCAAACATCCAAGAACTGCGAGTTCAACTTGGAGAAGAAAGGGAAGAGAATTCCGCTCTTCAGAGTAAGATTGTGTCCGGTGAGCAAGCTTTTGATGCGCTTCGAGTTGAAGTGGAAAAACGTGAAGACCAGGTACAGAGCTGGCAGGAGAAAGCTCTGCGCGGACAAACTATTAGCAGCGAGCTTGAAGACGAAAACCAACTTCTTAGACACGAGATTAAGGCGTTACAAGGACAAAATAAAGCGCTCACTGAGGAATTCAGTGGCCTTGCTGGTGAGTTTGAGAATCTTAAAAAGCGTTATGATGAAATGGTAACCAAAGAGATGAACAGGAAGACTACAGAGGTTGAAATCCCAGATGCTAAAGAAAAAGCGAGTCATGCTGAAACTACAAGCAAAACCACTCAGGCTGAGACAGAGCAACTTGCTAAGCAGCACGTTGAATCTTTGAGTAGTTATGACGAACAAGTGAGGCGCATTGCTGACAGAATTTTATCCAGTCCCACCAAGGAAGCAGAGGTGCCAGAACAAACACGTGGCATCACACAAGGCACACAGACGGACAGGATCCCTCGTTTTGCTGACTCTGGCGTTAATGTGAATTTAGATGCGGAAGATGCTTCATCCATGGATGAAGAAGAATCAATCGATGTCAAAGGCAGTGCAAAGAAAAGCATGGTGTCTAACGAGGGAAGCGCTCGTCCGCAGCGAACTCCACAGCCCAAAAAGGTGTTAAGAAAGACTCCGAGACGAAACGAGTGGGCAAGCATGAAGCAACGGATTCTTAGTCTAACACAAGAGGTTTCTGCACTGCGTCAATCCAAAGATAAAGCAGTGAAGGCATTGAATGTGCAAAAAAACGACTTTGAAAGCTTGCAAACGGAATACAACTCGTTACTGAGTAAGTTACAAGTCAGCCGGAACTCCGTGCAGCAGTTGACTGATAGTCTGAAGTTGTGCTTGCAAGAGAAAGATCTTTTGGCGGCGGAATTGAAAGAAAAGAATGAGTTGGAATCCAGACCGACTGCTTTGTCGATAGCAGAGTGGAAGCGCTTAGAAGAGGAATTGCGACTGGCTACATTGGAGTGTATTCGCTTGGCTAATATTGTTAGAACTGTAGGGAGTGAAAACGAAGACTTACGAACAAAGCTTAAGGAAGCGCAAGGGAATTGTTCAAGGCTTGAGCACGCGGTAACGCAGAAGAAAACACTGGTGGATGAAATGAAATCTAAAATAAGAGACGTTGAAGAGAAAACTAAGAAAGATTCAGAAACGGCCAAGAATTTGGAAGAAAGGCTCTCGCATTGCAAGGAGAGGGAGAAAACTAACAGAGTAAGAATCGAGACACTGGAACACAGGTTGGATGGCGAGAGCCGCGAGAAACAAAACTACCATCAACAGCTGCTGAGCTGTCAGAAAGAACTGAAGAAGAAAACACAGCAGCTAAGTAGGTATGCTTTTAAAAAAAATGCGACGCAATAACATCGATATGCGACGCCATAACATCGTTTTGAACATTGATCTGCTAATGTTGTTTTTAGGTGAGAAAAGAGGGGGGATTTTAAGTATTAAGTAGTTGCTGTGCTAAAATTATTTTTGCGAGGATAACGTGTAATTTGTGTGGTTTTCTGTTTCAAGGTCCCAGACTCTACGCAACCAAGCTAAATTAGTCATTAGCGAGATGGAAGCAGCGGCGACGATGCAGCTTCAAGGTTTAGCCAATCAGAGCGAAGCCACGATAGCCTCACTTCAGCGTAAGTTTGATAAAGCCCAGGAACGGATAGAAGAGTTTCAAGCGTTCGTTAGAACACTTGTGGAAGAACTGCTTATGAGTACTCGCACGATGCGCCGGAAACTGGAAGAATTTAAGGAGAAACAGTGGCAGGAGGCGTCAAAGACAGCCATGAAAGAAGCTCAGAGCAAGGCGTGCTCAATTCTGAACATATCGTCGGCGGATCTTGAAAATATCATGGACGAAGGTGCTAGTCAAAAGTTGGAAGAGGCGAGATTGAGGACAGAGCAGGAGCAGGCGTGGCTAGCCGAGGTGGAATCTGCATTGAAACGTCAAGGGACGTTTGCCGTACCGCTCTTAGAAGTATTACTGGACTTGGTGGACGAAAGAGTTGCCGTTGAAGCGAAATTTGCAGGATCGTAGATGAAATAATAGCTTGCGTCACTGGCTCTCTTTGAAGCGCAAAAGTACAAGAGTCAATGCTTGGTAGCTTGCGAACGCAGACGTATTTCCGGCTGTCGCTTGTCCTCGCCGAAAATAACGTCTGCGAACCCGAGCCAGGAAACGATTTCTGTGACGTAGGAATTTTAAGCCAATACAGTTTAGCTCAAGTAGCCCCAGAACTACTGCGCGAGGTATTCGCTGCGAGGAGTACTCGAGTTTCATTCTATCATGGAATCTGATTGGCCAAAGAGAAACAAAAGTCATTACGTCACAGAAATCGTTTCCTGGCTCGGGTTCGCAGACGTTATTTTCGGCGGAGACAAGCGACAGCCGGAAATACGTCTGCGTTCGCAGGTTAATGCTTGGAGAAAAACCGCGAGAACGACAGGGATTGGAAAAGAACGGAAAGGAACTCTTATGATGAACCATGACTCGTTCTTCGCAATTTTGCAGCATTGACGGCTACTTGCTCGGGCAAAACGATGACGCACGTACTTTTGTTATGGTTGAGCTTTGTAAGTGCTGTGCCCTTTAAAATAATGTAGCTCTCACTGCTATTTATTTCATGAAATCGTATCTTATGCTTTTTGCTATTAGTGAGAATTAAATTACTCAATCGCAACATAACCCTGAATTTCAATTGTGACTCTAGAATACTGCTGAAATTCAGACTACCGATGTTACTAAGACAAAGGCATTCCTTTTCACCGTATCCAGTTACCAGACGATTGAACGAAGAGTTTTGTTGTAGATGACATCTTTCCTAGCCATGCTGCCTCCAAATTTTTCAACCAGGTTCCAAATCATGAACAGCTTACCAAATATGACAAAGGCGTTAATTAATTAGTGGCAAAAGCTATTAGCATGAATGGAGCTTGTCATATTTTATCCTCTTTATATTATATAGCTGCTAGGGCCTCCAGCTGCGTTCGACTGGCAGGTTATAGGCTACAGGTTCGACTTGGAAATGTTTTTGAGTAGCTTGTACCGTTCATCTATATCTTTCTATCCGGTATTATCCAGTTCAGTTGAGTACAAACAAGGCACGTGTACGAGTTCAAACATTCCGCGATATGTGCTCTGGGAAACCAGTTTAACAGGTTGACTTAATACATTTATTTATCCTAACCGAACGAGAGCCTGAAGCGCAGTTTCAAAACCTGGATTTCGGGAAAGAAAAAAGTTCAATAACATACTTGGCAAACGAGATTTGAGTGTGTAATGTCGCTGTTAAGTTTTACACGCCACTTGAAATAACGTGAAAAACGGGTTCGCTAAAATGCAGCAAGAATAGGAAAAAATATACAGCTATACTACACGCTTTAAGAGTTTCCCAAGATACATACTAGTTATGCAACCCTCTCGAGTGGTATACCATGGTATACCTCTCGAGTCACTTGTATTTTCGCGGTCTACATACGAGTCTTTACCACGAAAGAGCGTTGTATAACTATTTTATACCATGCCATAGAAAATGCAGTGGCTGTCACGTTCCACAACCGATGGAACTGGATTATTGCAATGAATGGATACGACACACGAGTTAAATCTAGAAGTCCGCCATGCTGCTTTAATAATCAACTTCCCAACTTACATTACGCGCTTAAGTATATTATGTATGATGCACCGAAATGTACCCTACAAACACTACAGTGGCCAACACAATCAATGCGACATACGCGCGGCGCACGATGGAGGACTGGGGTGTAACAATATACAATGGCTTTCCTGTATTCTGATTGGCTGTATTTTCTATGTCATGGTATACCTTTCTTCCAAGCCACGTGGCGTTACCAATACAATACTTTGTCTAAAAGGATAATCTTAGGATAGATAAATCTAAAACGAATAGACGTTAACACGTGTAGTAACATTTAACAGTTTATTGGAAAACTCCAAAAACCGTACAGTTTCTCCTTTCAAGAGAACAAGTGCTAAGCAACATATTAGTTTATTTTCAGAATTAACTACGCCGTTGCCTGTTTTCCAAAAAGGTAATGGCATTAACGATAAAGAAAGTATAACAAATATAAACATGATCTAAAAATAAAAGATTTACAAAGTAATGTGTTTACCACACAACTAGCCAGACCTTGCCGCAGCAGAAAATCGGACGAAATTTAACTACAGTACCAGACTCTAGTTACCAGGCTTCGCACGGTGATTTCCTACAGCGGTGCGTACTGGGTAATATTTCAAATTCATTAAAAATAAAACTATGATAAATCAATGGCTGTTTTGCAACCTCGCCCCATGCTAGTGCACATTTTATAAGATGCACATTTTATGTACTACTTCCAAAACTGTACATTTTACAGTGAAACCTATTTAAACCTGAACGGAAATATTTTTAGAAGGTTGCTGTTGTGAAGCCTTCGTCAAAATGGCTAGCTAACAAAACAAAATAAATGTTTTCTTCAAAAAGAAATCCTTTAACTTTAAAGGAAATCAAGTTGTTATTCACTGAAACAAAACGCAGAGTCCTTTCTTATTATAAGGATCAAAGCAACAAGCTGGTTCAAAGATGTTACCGTGTCGACCTTTCTCCGGGGGAGTAGAGTGCCACTACCTCCATGACCCCCCGGATGAGATGATAGTCCATTGCATGTAGGTCATCCCCCCCCGCCCCTCCCCGCAAGCTTTCTGTCAGGTTGCCCTAACAATTCGCTGGTACCCATTCATACTCCTGGGTGGAGAGGCACTCTGAGGGTAAGAACACAACACAATAACATTGGCCGGGGCTCGAAAGCAGACCGCTCGATCCGGAGTCCGGCCCGTCAACCATTCCAAGCTTCGAAAAACGAGGAGGATAACTTCATAGAAAACACATTTTAAAGGAAGTTGTTTCATGACCAAAACAAATCTCTAGAGTATTTGCTCCCGCGGGCTGCAATTCCAGTTCGCTCCCAACAACACAACATTCCAGAAATATTTCAAGCGTTCAAAGATTTACGTACGAGTCTCACCGCAATGACTATGCCAAATTTTCTAAATATTTCTTATAGGCCGTCGCATACTTTGATTCCTCTGGTTAAATCAAGGTTCCATTCGTCAAATATCTTAACCAGCTACACAAGTTTTAAACTAATTTCAAACACGTCCCATACTGACGATATTTGGTTCGTCGGTGGAAACATTGCGTGACGATCCACAGCGTTGCGTGACCTGCCAAAGCGTTGTGGGCGATTCAAGTAACGTTTGCGCAAAGACGATACGTGAACAGGACTGCACAATATTAAGTGCTAAAAAATTCAACTTAAGGATTAAAGAAAACTGTGTTTTTTGGTGTTTTTGATGTAAGTTAAATAGTAAAGATAAGAAATGTAACAGAAAACTGCAATCTAAATTGTCCCCAGTAACGGCTCGCTTTTCATACTTATTCCTAAAAATTTAACTGAGGTTTACTTAATATGGTTAAACCTCCACTTGCAGACACTACCCGCTCATGGCCACCTCTTATAAGCGAATTCTCAGTCATCGTGTCAGCCATTTTTGAGCCTTCTATATAACAAAGAGATCCCTTCCCTAAACGAACACTTTTTTAGGTCTCAAGGGTTTCTGCTTATAAGAGGTTTCTCAGTGCTACGAATACCGGGGAAAATACCGGAGACATTTAAACGTATACTTATTTACAGACTTAAGTGTGGGTAGAAAAGAAATAACGAGCAACAAAAACAGGGGGTAAAGTAAGTATCCCCTGTTAATCCAATCCCCGTTATACCCGATTTGACGAGAGCACAAGTTTTCTCCGATAAATCCTAAATTTGATTGGTTATTTTAATTTGGAAACTCAGACGTCCTCAGAGCCTGGAGTGAAATCGGACATTCTTACGAAGGTCACCCTTGGACCCGCCTCCTCGTCATTGTAAGGCGGCTGTTCCTCCAGCTCAGGGGCAGCAGAAGGCGCGTCTTCACCCATGCCGTCCGTTTGATTTTTCGCAAAGTTTATAAACACCTGTAATGAGATAAAGTGCACGGTTTGTTTTAAACCTTTTTACCACACGTAAAATTTCATACTTAACAACGATAAATATGGCGCGAGAATTGGAAGGTGGGAATATTTTCGGAAGGGGTAGATAACGGAATTATGCATTACCCGCTAATAAAGCAACAAGATTTCGCACACCACTCCCCTTCAGGAGAGAGGTATATTACGTCATCTTAGGTCGCAGCCCGGTAAGCCGTTATAAGTTCTTTTTTACATGGCTGTGTCTCACAAGGACTGGGAGCTACCAAATTCACGAATTTGATCGGCTAAAATCGTTTATTGACCGATATTGATCGATATTGACCCATACAGTCCTCCTGCTCGGTTAATAAGAGCTAAGTTTTGTTCTCAATTTGCCCACTAAACCTGACAAACAGGAAAGAACTTTCAACAAACCTGATCGAGTGTTGTCTGTGAGACTGAGTAATCTTCAATTTCGAAGATCTTGCGGTTGGCCTCCAGATGACCAAATACGTTCGAGAGCAAAAGGCCTTGAGATGGGAACTGATATTGCAGCTGGTTGTGATGTTGATCCTAAAATGAACCGAGAAAAGGAAAGTGGTGAGCTGATGAGAAATGGCCAGGGACAGTTACGATAAGAATAGACTGGAGAAAGAGGCAGGTAGGCAGGCGCTACACAGATAGCCAGATTGCTAGGCAGACAGACAGACAGACAGACAGACAGACAGACAGCTAGGTAAGAATAACAGTAGATAGAAAACTAGGTAGGTAGGATAGAGACAGACTGACAGATAGACAGCTAGGCAGACAGACAAAGACGGACAGCTAGGTATTAAAGTAAGAAGGTACACCGGTTGGACAGAGACACAGACAGAGAAAGATAGACAGACAGACAAGCAGAGAAAGTCAGCTAGGAAGGCAAGCAGTTCAGCAAGCAGTAAGGTAGACAGACAGACAGACAGACAGACAAAGGCAGGCAGGTAGATAAGGAGGGAGGGAGGCAGGTAGGCAGGAAGGGAGGTATGCAGGTATGCAGTCAGACAGAAAATTGGTTCAAGTTGTTGGCGTGTAATGGTCAGATGATAGATAGGTAACAAGACAATTAAAGTAGTCAGACACATTGAGGAGTGAAATGAAATCAAGTATAACACTGCGAGTGATGATACGATAAAAGTACCTTCAGAACTGCTGTAGGGAACAGGCCTCTTATTAACTCTGATACTCCCTCTAAATCAGGATTTTCTCCTCCAATTCGCAGCGTCACTGTGTACCCATCTCCAAATCTGGAAAATGCAGACATACGAATGCTTTTAAGATGGCACGCGGCACAGTAGTTTTACTCGGTATTTTGTACATCCAGAGGGTACTACAGTTACCATGACAACTCCAACACGAAAAATTTGTGTGACCCTCACATTAAGGATAATGTGGTACGATGCGTTTTGATCAAACTTACTTGCACTTGAGATGTTGTGGACTGCCAAGACATTTAAACTGTCCATTTACCATGATGGCAACACGGCTACACAGAGATTCGCACTCTTCCATGCTAAAACAAAATTGTAATAAAAACGCGATCAATTGTGTAACTTAAACTAAATCTAAATTGATTGCTAGTAATTCTTTCTTGTCCAGCAGCACTGCATTGATGAAATATTGTTTTCTCTTTACCGCGCTAAGGCAAATTCAAGTAAGAATGTTTGAAAAATAAACGACGTAGGAAGAATAAGGAAGAATTCACTGAGCGCGCGTTGTTGCCAGAAGAGTTGCTAAGCAACAGGACGATATGCCATGACTCTTTGGCGACGTAACAACTTTCCGAGAGCACGAGAGTGCTCGAGCATCCGAGAATGACTGGATGACAACAATCGGGAAATCTTCGTGAGTCTCCGAAGATTGTCCATATTTGTCATGTCTTCGCAAGCTTACCTATGAGATGTTAAAATCACTGTGCGCCCCTCTTTCACAATACCAGTAATGATATTCCACAAGAAACGCCGAGCTTTTGGATCCATACCAGTGGTAGGCTCGTCCTGAAATTGAGACAAGGACTATTAGAGAAACGTAATCAACTAACAAAACGCGTTAAGTTTCTCGCAGAAAATTTTCCCGTACGACCTTTTTAAGTATCAGTGGCAGAGATCGAGAAGGATTTCAAGTAGCTTAACTCCACATAACAGCTAGATAAGCCCATTTTCTATTCGTTCCCAGAGTTGCTCGAGTCTCCCAGCCGACGGCGCTTGGGCACTAGAATGGATCACTTCGACCCAGTCTCCAGCTCTTGATTGACTCTTCTACTTGATAGCGAGCTATGAACTCGTAAAGGCAATCTTAATAAAACACATAGACTTACCAGGAAAATAATAGGTGGATTACCAACTAGCGCAATAGCTGTGGACAGCTTTCTCTTATTTCCTCCACTGAACCCACCAGCGCATCTGTTCGCGTACTCGGTCAGATTCATGCGAGCAATCAGACTGTCTACAACCTGAAAACAAGGATTATTACGTCAAGCTTCTCATAACCCGTTCTCTTATACTTCTCCTAATGCACGTTTTGAGAAACTGTGAGTACATCACCAGTGTACTCGAGGGCACATTTATATTGTAACGTGAAATAATATGATAAATAATACTGGAGTTGCTGGGTGAAAAGCTTCAAATAGCTAGGGTGTTTTTTTAACCTTTATATGAGCGAAAGAATCCTTAAGACTAGAGTTAAAGTGCTCACCAGTCATTATCAGGTTATACAAAACCCATAACCTTTAACTATAAGTATAGTCCATTAAAGTTAATTCCACGATCCACACTGGCGCAAATAGTTAGGGAAGAGAGCTGACAAAGAATCTTGTTTTATATTATGAAGAGTAGTCAAGTAAGAACTTGACTTACACTCTTAGGTGAAGACTTTTGAATTTGAAACGTTTCTTTTTAAGGAACTACAATCTCTTAGAGGAGTTCGGGTTTGTGTTCAGTTTTATTCCTGTCTGAGTTTAACTGAAAACTTGTCAAACCTGTTTGATGTGTTTTTCAGGTACTCCTCTGAGCCGTGCGTACAGCCGAAGGTGTTCTGAGGCGGTCAGTAGGCTGTCAAGCCCGTCAAACTGGGGACAGTAACCCATGGACTGATGCGCGTTATGGATGTTAGTCAAAATACTGAAGATGAAAATAAATTAGAAATACATGATCAGAAAATACATTATACAACACGTTATATCGCGTTTTCCCTCCACCGATCCAATCGGTTGCAAATTTTCCCGCCCTTGTTTTCCCGCGCTTTCCACCGGTTACATGTTTTCCCGCTCTTTCCACAAGTTGCACGTTTTCCCGCGCTTTCCACAGCCGGTTACATGTTTTCCCGCGCTTTCCACAGGATACATGTTTTCCTTCCTTATTCACCGGTCTCATGTTTTTCCGCGTTTTCTACCAGTTACATGTTTTCCCGCGCTTTCCACTGGTCTCATGTTTTCCCGCTCTTTCCGCCGGTTACATGATTTCCCGCGCTTTCCACCGGTTGCATGTTTTCCCACCCTTTGCACAAGCGACATATTTTCCTGTCCTTTCGAACGATGGAATTTTTTCTCGCCTTTTCTAGCGGCTGCATGTTTTCCTGCACAAGCTGTTCACCCCATGTTTTGCTTGTAGTTTAAACATATTAACTAGCACTACGTGTAATTCTACTTTTAATCTGCGAATGTGGACAATACAAAGATGAAACTACTCGAAAAACCATTTTTGTGACGTGTCGTTGTAACTGGTCACAGAGAGCAGTTAGAAACATTGTTGGATTTACCTGTAACCATCGACAAACGCTTCTCCTGAAGTCACCGAAATATCTCCCGTCAACATTTTGAATGTGCTTGTTTTTCCAGCTCCATTTACTCCTAGCAGACCAAAACACTGAAATACAGGTACACGCGTTACTGAAACTTCAAAAGCCCTGTATGTTATCCCCTCACCCACCCATGCATGGGATACTATTCCATCAGAATCACTTCCGACATTTTGCCAGCTTGTTTCAACCTTCCTTTGTTCGTTGCCTCAACCAAGAGCATAACGTACGGACAATGGCCTGGGTTCGAATCAGCCTCGATCCTAGGATCTCACAGGGAGAATCTGGGAACCAGATTGGGTTTAACAAACTACACTTTACCCCACTGAAGCTTGACACAGAAGAAAATATCTAACCTCGCCTTTAGGAACTCCAATGCAAAGACGATTCACCGCCACGTTTTGCCTGTTTCTAGATTTGTACACCTACAAAGTAACGAAATGATATATATTTCTCAGTAACTGGCACAACATAACTCGGTTCAAACGTCACTTTTCACACTCTGCAAGAATTAGCTATGTAATATGTGAGACATGACAAAATACAAGTTACTCATTCGAGAGTCAAAATAACACAAATTCTTAGACGAGAACAACCACCTCTTCAGCAGTTTTCTTTACAGTTAAAGTTTCCGCGTGGTTTAGGACAGCCATTTAATGCGTGTACTAATGACTGAATAAGTGGATGAAATATCACTTCCTTTTATTCTAACATTGTTTAGCTCAATATTTCCTTCCGTTTATTACGACAAAGTAAGGAAAGAAAAACAAGGCGAGCACCAGCGTTTAAGTCACTACAAAGATAGCCAAAATTTTCACAAAAAATAATTTGCTTTTGAAGTGACGTCAAAATAAAACTAAGTTCTAACCTTGGTCAAATTATCCAGGCGTAATATGTCATTGATTCCCCCTCCTCTTTCAATACGTTGTCGTTCTTTATCGACATCTTCATCTTCTTCGTCAATTGGCTTCAGCGCAACTTTTACCCGTCTGGTGGAGAAAAGATGCACGGAATAAGGTTATGTCTACGCGTATGTATTTAAGTCTGTAAACGGATACAATTTTTCTCCGTCCACACTAGGTTAGCAATCCTTTACGCCTAACAGGCTACAATATTTAGAGAGAAAGCCACATCAGCCTTGGCTGGTTTTCATGCGGGTCCCCTATCCTGGTCGAATTGGTATTTGGAGGGTTGGTTTTGGCGGAGGGAGGAAAACCAGAGAACCCGGAGAAAAACCCTCCGAGTAGGGCGAGAACCAACAACAAACTCAACCCACATATGGCATCGGGCCGGAATCGTACCCAGGCTACACTGGTGGGAGGTGAGCGCTCTCACCACTGCGCCGTCCCTGCTCCGGGAAGCGTTTTTGAAAATATACGTTTATTAAACATAACCAAGCAATAATGAACCACGCAGAAGTCTATGATTCCAAGAGAGAGAGTAAAAAAGTTGATTTTTGTAAAACAACATGGCAATATACCCACCTTTGTGGCAAGAAGAAACGGTATTCAATCAGAATAGTAATGAAAAAGAACAGAAATCCTTGGATGATCATCATAAGGATGTTACGACCAGTGATGTCCCAGCTGAACGGATCTCGAACCAAGTCTTGCCCTGAAAGTGAACAAACAAACACACATGCCAATAAATAAATCGAAAAGTGTGCCTATCATTTAACATCGCTACTTTGTAGCACGCGAGAAGGAAAACCTACATTTACGAATTTGGGAAGGGTCTTACCGGGCTGCAAATATTACATTTTGGAAAGTAAAGGTAGTTATTGAATGTGGTTACTGCAAAAGTAAGGACTGCTTTCTCGGAGAAGAGCGGTTTTTTTTCCTTTCTTTCAGCCGCTTCTTACCTATCTCTGTACTTTTACTAAGTAATAGACCAGACTCTAGTTCTGTCTCCTTTATTTTAGTGAGCAAAAATAATTAAACTCTTGAAAACTAATTGTTCCCAATTCAAACTAATCAAGATTTCACCATCTCGGTGCTGATTTTAGAGGCAGGGTACATAATGGAAATAGAACTTAAAGTAACGTTGCGTATTAGAATATGGGTCGTTATTCCAAACATCACACACACACAAAGAAAAGAATCCTGTGGGGAAAGCAAATTAAATCATTTCGGTTCCCGAGTTGAAAAAGCAACAAAAAAGAAGATAGACACGCACCGAATCTGTCAAAGATATCCATAAATTGATTCTTGGCAAGATCGATCAGTCCACGTCCCAGACAGTAGTTTGGAAAAATCAGGAAAATTCGCTTCAGCATGTCATTGATTGCAATAAGTTCCTGCAATAACAACACGAGAGCAAAGGTCAAGGGTATAACTACAATTTATAGAGCGGCCAATCAAAACCAAGGTAAAGAGCAAATGAACCAATGAGAACTAAAAGCACATACAGGTGACAAGCGCTAAATAAAAGGCGGGAAAACACGTGCGACCAAGTCGCGACGGTTTTGGATTCACATCTTGATAGAGCGAGTTAGTAGTTTGAAGATTTTTTTCCTTTAAATCAAACAGAGTGTAATAAAGCAGAACAACAGCAATTCTGAATTACTTCCACACTCAATCGAAAATCGCTTTATGTTGTACATAGTCGTGAGAGAATTTTATTGCAAACATTTAATTCAATCTTGCACTCTTGGTCACCTAAAGATCTTTAAAAGGTCTCTAATGGAACCCAGTTTCCTACCGTGTCATCCGTGAAAAACTCCAAGATGAAGGTAGCCAGTGTTGTGTTGATTCCGATGAACAAGTTGACGCATATTAGCACGATATAAGCTGTGCTTGACTCACTAAACAGAAACGACGCTGGGTACATGAGTGGAGTGATAGCCCATCTGTAAAAACCAAAACACAAGCAGCTATAACCTTCTCATTGCCTTGAACCAATACGGTTCTAACTTCATGTTTGTACGTGAAACCCTAGAGTGTGACCATTCAAATGAAAGCTACTGCGCTAAACTTTCATGTAGTACTGTTTATTATGCTGCACGAGGTGGTTCAAACTTTTAGGTCTGTTGATGAAACCCTACTAAGCTAAACTTTCATGTAGTCATGTGGAGGTGGTTCTAACATTAAGGTCTGTGGATGAAACCATATTGCGTGACCATTCAAATGAAAGGTATTGGGCAGTACTTTCATGTAGTACTGTTTATTATGCTGTACAAGGGGATTCTCACTTTTAAGTCTGTGAATGAAACCTTAGTGTGTGACCATTCAAATGAAATTTACGCTTTTCAAGGATGGTTATAACTTTTAAATGAAAGTCTGTGGATGAAACCCTAGCGCATGACCATTGAAATAAAAGCTATTGAGTAGTACTTTTATGTGGTACTGATAATTCCACTTTACAAGGTTGTTCTCTGGAAGAAATTCTAGAAGGGCTTCTTCCGTAAACTTACCCATAAAGGAGAAGGAGAAGGAATGTCGGTGGAAAATTCATAGATGAAGTGTAAGCATCTTCACCAAAGGCCAAGAAAATGAATATACAACACAGTGCTGGAATAATGTAGTTGACCTGTAGAAATAGCAACACAGTTTAGCGAGCCATACTCTGAGGGTCTTGAGAAAAAAAAAAAAAACAAGCTTTTAATCTGGGACAGTAACGAGGAACGTAATTGCAACTCGTGTCTCAGCCCGCACTTACCAAGTCCCAAACATAAGTAGACAACCAGTAGACGTAAGGGCGGACACCGCTGACCAGGTGCAGATGCTTGGCTTTGCAGTTTCGTTCATTGACCAGATAGACAACAAAACTGGCAGGAACAAACGATAGAGCAAACACCACACAGATGGCCACTAACACGTCTATCACACGATTGAAGCTGAAAAGCAAAATGAACAAATCAAGTCAATGCTATTTTTTTTTCCGTACGTTTTGATGTTTTTCTCCCGTTATCACTCTAGGTTCTAGGAGTGTCGTCTTAAGATTGCAGTGGAAGTCTCTAACTATTAAGAATTTTGAGTAATATCCAAACACCGAGAAGAAAGTAATACGAAACGCAGCGGAGTATTTTTGACGAGCTCCGAGGTGTTTGGAAATGTGGTCAAACACTATCTTGAGTGTTTCATATGTCCTCTAAATCGAAACCAAAATGAAGGAGGAAACAGGAAGTAAAACCATAAAAATCTGAATTCTGATCAGCTATCCAAACATCTTCACGGTCATGTTATGATTTCTTTGGTTTAAATTTCATGAATTATCAATGAGTTTCTGGAGTGGATTTGAAGAAAAGCGGGGAAAATGGATACTGAATGAAAATTTCATTTTAGAACTTAAAGTGCCTATGAAGTAAAAAATAATTGCTGCTTATTTGAAAGGCTTTTCAAAGTAAAGAAGAATGGCGTTTCCCTTTTTGGAATATCTGTTTTCGTTCTAGAAATATTTACGTTTTTGTATTATGCAAATGAGGAAAGTGATGACGTCATAGGTGGTTCTACTGGAACAGTAAAACACTGAATCAAGAATATCTCTAGAAATATTGGAGCAGTGTTCTTCAAACTTGGCACCACAAATGTGCATCACAAAAGAAACAGAATGA